GCTGAGATTCGAGATCCCCTCAAGTACCGTCGTCTTGTGGGCCGTTTGCTTTACTTGACTATTACTCGACCTGATATTTGTTATGCAGTCCATACACTTTCTCAGTTTATGCAGGCACCGCGTCTTGACCATTGGAATGCGGCTCTTCGTGTCCTACGGTATCTTAAGGGACATCCTGGTCAAGGTATTATTTTGCGTAGTGATAGTAATCTTGCTCTTACTGCTTTTTCTGATTCAGATTGGGCAAGCTGTCCGCTTACTCGACGCTCTGTCACTGGGTATTTTATTCTGTTGGGTGGGTCTCCAGTTTCATGGCGCACTAAAAAGCAAACTACCGTTTCCCGTTCTTCGGCAGAGGCTGAATATCGGGCCATGGCTAATGCTTGTACCGAGATAAGGTGGTTGCGTGGGCTCTTGGCTGCTTTGGATGTTCCTTGTGTGGCAACTCCTCGTTTATATTGTGATAATAAATCTGCTTTGTTTATTGCCGCCAATCCTGTCTTTCATGAGCGTTCGAAGCACATTGATATTGATTGTCATATTGTTCGGGAGTGCATCCAGCGAAATCATGTTGTCACAGCTTATGTTCCTACGCGTCTCCAAACTGCGGACATCTTCACTAAAGCGTTGTCTGGTCCTCTATTTCACTGTTTATTGTCCAAGTTGGGCATTTTCGATATTCATGCTCCAACTTGAGGGGGAGTGTTAGGACATATATTTTATGTATAATAGCAACATTCATTGCATTGAGCTACTTAGGTTGGACTCCTCGTGTGTATCACCGGGAGGACTCTTCGTTTGTATCACCGATGTATATTTATATCGTTTTTGTATCAATGGAACATGCCATTCAACGTCCTATAGTTTCTACAAAATTGTATCAAATTAAATCATGCCATATGTAAATCCGTAAATAAAAATGCTGGAAAATCACCATGAGTGCCCTCACATATTTCAATCAGATATGATTTATATATAAACAAATGATAATCATCAATAAACACATATTATCATCTGTACATGTAAAAAGTCATGGAGATTATCATACATTCTCTTCCTAATAACGCACGGTGGTGAATTTCCACGTGAATATTGGGATCACTCAGGTAAATGGATAAGTTCACTCTGTAAATTCTAAGTTCAAATCCAATTTGAAGTTTTTATATTTCTACCTAGGGGCTAAGATGGATATTTAATAATTCGATCCATTTGAATCTAAGTCTGTTTAGATAAAAAAAAGTTTTTACTTTTGCTTTTGTTTCTGCACAATTTTTATTAAATTACTCGGATGAATTGTTTTGAAAAAAGTTTGAACTTCAGTAGAATTTAAATAGTTTGAAAAATGTTATACGTGGATACAAATTAATAGAAAACTGACCAATAGACTTGTGTATCAGGACTATTCGAGTTAAAATATGAATGGTAAGCGAACTTTTTTTTTGACAAATATAAGACATTTTTATATATAAAACATATGTATAGACACATACAAATACGGAATGTGTAACATCTTTTTACCATATAGTCTTTGCGTGAAAAATAATATATCACACAAAATAAGGAAACTATTATCCCGTGACAAATTACTATAGAATAAAGATATTAAAACTACTTTGTACTTTTATACTCTATAGTTCAATTTGACTTTGAAATATTAGAACTAGATATGGATATACTCGATATCTGACTAATATCCGGCTAATGCAGATGTGAATTTGAGTTTTAGCATCTGTCAAGATTCATATTCAAATTTGATGTCTGAAAAAATAAACGGATGCAAATATAAATATTGTTCCCTTTTAACCTTTAACTTATAATTAAATAAATATTACTCTCTTTTTCTTTTTAAAAATTTTCTCAATCCGACTTTCAAGGTCAAGTTTTAAATTTTTGGCTACTAGTTACAAAAAAATACTTTGAATTATGATACGGAATATAAATTTAATATCAAGAAGTTTATTTTAAAACAAAGTTTTCGAATATTACATTTTTATAATATATTTCTATCTATAACTAAAGAAATTGATGGTCAAAGTGTGACATTGAAAATCATGAAAAGTAAAATTAAAAAATTCAAAAAAGACAAAAGAAATATATCTTATATTTTGTATTAATTAGATAAAATAATATTTTAAAAATACATTTTACAAGAGAAGTATAATAAAATTATTTTTAAATCATTATCTAAGATCAATTTTACTCCATCCGTCCCCCAGTTTTTGTCCACTTTTGACTTTTGGACTGTTCATGTAAGCACTTTGACTCATCAAATTCTCTCAATGTGTAAGACTAAATATAGTTATGTGTGATCTTGTTTGATTTGTCTTAACATGTAGATTAGTAATATATAATTTTTATAATTTTTTAATATACAAATTACAAGATAAAATGGATTAAAGAAGTGCATTGGATGGTGTGTAAAAATGAAAGTGAACAAAAACTGGGGGAGGAAGTATTTAATTTATAGAAAAGATTTCAATTTAAATTTCAAAAGTCAAAATTAGATACTCCCTCCGTCCTCAATTAGATTAAAATATTCCCTCTTATTTTTGTCCCAAAAAGAATTACAATGTGTTTACTTTTACACTAAATGGACTCTTTTATCCTTCCTCCCCTTTATCATTTCAATGTCAAAATCTCACTTACCCACACATTCCTATACTATTTGGGGGGTAATTTGGGAAAAAAAATACTGATTTGTCTCTTCCTTAATTTTGTAAAAAAAGGAATATTGTAATCTAAAAGGGGACGGAGGGAGTAAATAACTTGAGACGAATGTAATACTAATAAATACTCAAGTACTTCGTAATTGAGACCGTTACTCAGAAGCGTCACTTTAACTGATCTGATGAGACATATTTTAGTTAATGGGGTTTTAAAAAATTGAAATAAATATATGATGGGAATTTAGCACATTAGGACACCACCAAGGCAGTTTGGGCCTAAGATGGGTGTAAAGCCCAAGATAGGGCTCATACCTTAAAGAGGAACTGGCCCAGATGTAATATAGTCAATGGACCAGTAAGAGAATCTACCCACAAGAAGAAAGGAACCAGGGGAAGAGAGAAGAACGGGCATGACAGATGGGCTGGACTTCAGCCCATTCAGACCGGGTCACCCAAACGAAGAAGATCACTACAAGGGAATTAGGGTGCGCTGTCCTTGAGGGACGGACGAATTACTCCTTAGACAAGATGGACAGGAAATATCAATCGGACGGACATATTTGTTCTCAAGTGAGTGAACTTAAACTAAGAAAGGTATTTCTAGGAAAGAGAAGATTGCCCAGATATTTACCCAACCACCACGGATATATTGATAAGATGGTGGCTAGAAAAGCTCAAAGGAGAAAGAATTTAGACAGCAGAGATAACTTGTAACATAGAGAGACTTGAGTAATAAAAGAATATTCCGGTAGCCCTACAGAGTATTCCGTTCTACAGGTGAAACAAATACAGAAAGGGCCCCCGGTTTGAATTAATTCATTGTGTGTTGTGCATTTTCTTACGATCCATTGCTCTTTCCTTTTCACTCTCTTACAGTTATAAGGTCCGAATACTAATATTTAGACCTGGACCGACCAACAGTTCTAGGACAAAATATTAGGCATCCAACAATATAATTTCTAATAAATGAATTGATACTATTTAATCCTACACCAATATCCAAATATATTTTAATTGAAAACAACCAGTCTTCTTTACTGTTTCATTTGTTTTTATACGAGGTTTAATAAAATGAAACCGCGTGATTTCGAATTATTTAGAAACGGGATACAATTAATATTTTATGAACCACACACGATTATTTCCTCAAAAGCAAAGGGACGTTAACTAGGGACGTCCCAAGAAAAAGCGAAAGATAAATATGGGACGAAGGAAGTATCCAATAGTACCGGTAGTTCTAGATCTGGGGCAGATGACCTTCCTTTATAAAGGACACCACAGCGTAGGCCAATTCATCTTGTTCTACCTTATAATCGTGGTTGGCTCCTTCTATGATTTTCAATTCGTGGTTCGGAACAACCTTGTTGAACTCGAACGCATCTTCCACTGGAATGATCTCGTCGTTCGATCCATGAACAGTAAGTACCCTACACGTGCATGGTTTTCCAATAAGGCTCCGTTTGGTTCCAGGAAAATAAATGAAAAATTTTGAGCCTTCGCTCCCTTTTCTCACCTGCATCCTCTGTCAATCTGCAAACAAGCTTTGTTCATGTCTGTGTTGAGCCGATCCATTAAGCTTTCCTCGGTAACACGATATTCCACTTCCCCTGCTTTGTTCTTCACATCTAGAAATCCCTCTTTCTTGATTCTTTCCACGTAGTTTTCGCCCAAACGCTCCACAATCCCCCTTCCCATATCATAGCGTCCCGAAACATTGACCACATTGGGAACATCATGATACCTGGATGCATACAGGAGAACCACGTTGCCTCCTGCAATAGATTAGATGTCATCTTCATGATTAATATAACAAAAATACCCAAATAAAGATGACAAAGTTTGACTTGGGTGATAGTTATTACTTTGAAAGTAAATTTCACAAATGGTCCTTTGTGTTTTGGGATATTCCACATTTAGTCCACCGCTCTATGAAATTCTATTGCAAGTCTAGTTTAAACGTGAGGTAAAAAAGTCGGGTAGCGAAACAAGAAATTCGCACACCTTTACTGTGTCCCAGAATGGCAACGACTCTGCGTTTTTCGCTGGTAAAGTGTTCAACCACAGAATGCAAATCATCGGCCTCTTTCTGATAGTGACCATAGTGAAATGTCCCCTCACTTTCCCTACAATGCAAATATATAACATGCCACAAAGAAAAATCTAGAAATATTACTTTTACAAGTGAGAAACTTCAACAACCCAATTGGATCCCCCGCGCAAGTAGGGAGTGGGAAACTTCAATCTTAACTGCAATAATCTACCGAAAGGGCTGAGAACAATATAATCTCAATTTAAACTTTACCCGTTTCCAGAAAAATCAAAGCGAAATGCACTAATTCCTTCTTTCTCCAAGGCAGCAGAAATGTTTACCATGATTTTGAACTCCTATATATAGATATGAAATGACCAAAGCAACAGAATTAGCAAATCAAATGACATGAAATGTTTCATGGGTTCATCGATTGAAGAACGAAGAAATTCAAAAACATTTTTAGAGTGGGGGGGGGGGACTTTCGTGCCCCTCCCATCAAAATGTTGAGTGGAAGACTTGATGTAAAGGTATTATTTCGGCTTCAAGAATGAATACGAACCTTGGATGATCGAAAGCCATGGCACAAGACCACGATATCAGGAGATCCGGTATCATGCAACAAACCCACAAGCTTCTCACCATGCCTATTTGGTATGATGACTTTCTTTGGCGTAGCACCTGAAACATCTGGCACATATACACCATAAGTATAACTACAGCATAGAGAAAAAATGTTCTGTAAAACTTTAATTCTTGTAGCAAAGTAGAGTGTTAATTAATAATTACACCCTGCACTAAGGTTAAAAACACAACGGAATTAGCAACTTGATGCACCGTCCCATTCACTACTCCGTAAGATAAGAAGCAAAAGAATAATATGTCATTTAGGTCTAGACCATTATTTACCCGAAAAGTTAAAACATTGTCATCTTTTGACTTCATTGCAATGGAGTGATTGGTAAAATTACAGTTGCATATAGCCATGCGAACCAATGAAGCATCGGATACTACGTACCAAACACTAACCCTGTTACCATGGGGTGCATCTCTAGCAGTTGGGCAGTGAGTGGTAAACCATTGGCACCCGAGTTCGAATCCTCTTGACTACGCGAGGTTTCGAATCTTCCCCATCGTGTGAGGTGTGATTTCACCTCAGCACACAACCTATCGCGCCTTGTGTCTGTGAGGTATCCTATCCCCCAACTACTTAATAAAATAAACAAATAATCAAATAAATAAACCAAACCCAGTTTTATAGATATTGGATTTAAGTTTGAATCTCATATTCACATTACCCACCATAATTGTTCACTGAATCTGGAAAAAGTGAACTCCTAATTCCGAACACACAAAAATGTGAATTTGGTCAACTAAATTTGGACAAACTGAGGGAGTAAATCTCTACAAGAAAAGGGATCATTCCAAGCATCTCACTTCAAACTACTGACATCTGCTATCCAAAACCCAAGGGGATTCATTATTTCTATTGCCTACAAAACGAAATCGCCTAAACAAGTGGAAAGCTTGAATCTTTGAAATCAAGAATCGTCTTCTTTATCAGTCAATTCAATATATAGTATTTTTTTGCAGGCTGTGAAAACAAAGTAATGATACAGATCATGTGAAAGGGCGATTTCAAGAAAATTTATCACCTGACTGGCCTTGAGTAGACATCTTGAGAAAGATTCAATTTTCCGACGACAAATGAATGCGCTGAGCTGACAGTACCCATTCTTTTCTTTCCTTTTAGAAAACTCAAAAGTTGTTCCCTACCTCGAACCGTGTTCTCCGATAAGGATAAGTTCGATGGGTGTAGGTATAGAATCTATAGGTCGGTGAGTAAGGTGTAACTTATTTCAAATTTAAGTTGAGATGAGTGAGTGTCATCGAATTCGAATCAAATTTAATAATTTTTAAATCCATATTAACACTTGCATTTTGCATTTAATAAATTTAAAATATGAGAAAATATGTATTAAATCTATTATATTATTTTATTTTATATTAACAAGTACGAGTAATTTTTAGATATATAAATCAATATAAAAATTAAAAAATTCATAACTTTTTGAAAAGAAAATAAGATAACTATGCAATATCATTAAAAGTTTATCTGAAAATATAAGTTTATAATTAAAAGCGAGTCATAAGAAAAAATATATAATTATAACTTTATTTTTATAACATTGTATTTCATAGTATAGTACGGAGTACATAATTTTGAAAAACTCTTACACTAATGGGTCGGGTTCGGGTTCGGTCATCAAAATTTTTGTTCAAAATTCGGTATTTTTGGTTCGCGTTTCACTTAAAAATTGGGTCATTTTTTATCGGGTCAAAGTGTAGGGGTGGATAATATGGCCCAAATTATGAGGCCCAAATTCAAATGCGGCTCCTAACATTTTGGGCCTTCTTTCATTCCTAAAATATTAGGGAGTACACATAAAAGCTTTTTTCCGAAGTGTTTTTGGGTCCAACAAAAAATTCAATCCAGCCTGAACCGAAAAAATGAGATTTGATTCTGGGATTGAAAATCTAGTCCATTTAAAATCAAGTCCATTCATGTTGAATGTTTGAGTCTCATTCCTGGGCTAAATTTTTTAAATTCTACATCAATTTTTGATTATATTTATTTAAAAATAATTTTAGCCAAATATCATGTATTAAATAAAAATCTTATATTGGAATGAAAGGAGTAATGACTAAATTTCATTTGGTTAAAATTTATGAATTAAAAAAAATCAAAAAATTACTTTGAGAAATGCAAGTTTCTATTTTTAAAAAAGACATTAAAGACTCTTATATTTTGTTTTAAAAGACTAGGAGGGAACATTCTATCCACTATTCCGTTAATGATAGTCAAAATTGTACTTTTCCCATTTTGTCTTTACTATAATCATTTTAGTTGTATTTATTTTTTCATATCAAACAGACAATTTTAAATTTTTGAAAAAGAGATACTCCCTCCGTCCTATAATGATCTTCCCGGTTCGCAAAACGAAGAAAAATCCCAAGTTTTTTCAATCTATTTTATTTAAATATTGGTATAGAAATAAAAAATAAAACATACATATTTAAAAACTACACCAAAAGGTCAACAAAACAAGTGGTGACAAGAATATTTTATTTTATCATATAGGCCATGAAAAAACACAAATAAATATAAATTCCCGTGATGTTGAAATAGTGCTCTGGGAAGATCATTATAGGACAGAGGGAGTACATAAGAAATGGAAATTATAGCAAAATAGTTACATAAGAAATTGAAAAACTTTATGAAAAAGGCGAGAGAAGAAGAAAAAAGAAACTAAAAAGTGAAAGCCACGAGTTTTAGAGAATGTTGGCAGTACGCTGCTTTTAGTAATTTAGCTTCTACTTTGAGTGGAAGTGATTTTATTCTGTTTGGCATGTCAGCTTCTACTTTTCACCACCACTATTTTATACACAGAACACCGTTTTGGAGAAGCAAGTATGAGGTGCTTTTGCTTTCAGATTTTGTGAAAAAATCACTTTATCCAGAAGTTAATCACTCCCAAACAAGCTCTAAACATAAAAGCATTATTAAGGGTCAAATGGAAAAAATATAATTTTTAATAGTTATTAACTTAATAATAAATGAAAAATCTCCTCCCAGTTTTACAATAAAATGTAAGGACTCTTAATGTCATTTTCATAATAGAAAATCCTGCGAATTATTTTAACAAAACTCATGTGACATTTAGAACAATTTTTTGGTAAAATATTTTGGAATAATTATCTCAAATAATCCTACCTTTTCGTGCTCTTTCAAAAATAATCTTACTTTTCACTATCAACGGAAATAATCTCATCTTTCTGCATGTGTGCGATTTTAATTTGGGTTTCCGTTAAAAAACTAACGGTCACTTAATGGAATTTTTGAAACATGCTTGTTTTTCGCAAATAAATGAAAGGTGGGATTATTTTCGGTAAATTCCCTTTTTTTGTTTTTTAATTTCTAACTTTAAAAAAATTAATTTCTAACTTTAAATGTATTTTTTAAAATTTTTTTGGGAAAAATAATAAAAAAATTAAGTATTTTTTAGAGTGAAACTAATTGGTTTTTTAATAATCAATAATCTGGTAATAATTTAAAAATAAATTATTATACACAATAGAACTAATTTATTTACTCCATAACTCACTGCATTTTTTTGTAAGTTGCATTTATTTTTCTTGAGTGGGAATTATTTTTTGATACTATATTATTATTATTTATTAAAAAATTGCACTACAAATTTTGTGAATTTTTTTCGATAATTCTATATAAATATTTTTTTCGAAACAACATTACAATAATTGTGAATATAACACAATAACCTTTTCTCTTAAATGGAATTTTTATTTTTATAACTCACTATATTTTCTGTCGTGTTGCAATTTTTTCATGAACAACACTCCAAAATTTTTATTGATAATCTTCTATTGCCTATATTATTTTTTTTCTAAAATTGAATTACCTAATTTGTGTTTTTTGACAATTAAATATAAATTTTTCCCCAAAATAGTAATTCAAAAGTTGTAAAAGTGGCACAATATTTGTTTTCTCCAAAACGGAACTAATAAATTTTATAACTCACTACAAATTTTTTTGTATTGCAATTTCTTTTTTGATCGATACTCTAAGTTATTTTTCATTATACAATATTATATTTTCGCAGGACAAAACAAAATTTGTAAATCGTTAGACAATATCTAACAAAAGCGTATTGTTATATATTTAAAAATATTAATTTTAAATTTTAAATTAAAAATTAAAAAAGTAAGAAGTAAGCTTGCCTAGAATAATCTCACCATTCATTTATTTGCGAAAAACAGTCATTTCCTAAAAATTCCGTTGAGTGGCCGTATGTTTTTTGACGGTGACCCAAAACTCGCACACATGCGCAAAAGTTGGATTATTTTGGGAGAAAGACCAAAGTAGAACTAAAACATTAAAAATATACCAAAATAGAACTTACATGTTTTTATTTGTGAAATATGACTTAAAATCACATTACCAAACATTAATATGTACATTACCAAAAAGTATAGTAATATGCACATATAACGTGCTACATTACAATCACATTACCAAAGTCCTATTTTGAGGAAAAAAGCATGAAAGTCGTATTTTGGTACTTTTTCCTATGTTTTAGTCCTATTATTTGAGATAATTTTTCTAAATATTTTTTAAAAAAAATGCGAAAAGGTGGGTAATTTGAGACGATTTTTTCAAATATTTTAAGATGGACCTCTTTTCCGAAATAGGTGGAATGGAGAAAATACTCAAAATAGTCCGTATTAGTAGACATAGTAAGTATCGTGGCACAAAATAACGATGAAGGTGACAATCTGCCGCCTTAGCTCCCTCCCTTGACTCAGTTTTTGGTTTGGACTTTGACCATTACTTTTCCGTGCTCTTACTTGGCTGCTGCTACTTCTACTAACCTTATAATATTAATTTATTCCATCCCAAAATAAAAGTAGAAAGTTTGGTTCATCACATTTAACTAAAATCATTCTAATTCAATTGATCTCAGCATTTGTATTGCAATAAAAAGGAATAAAATTATATACGGTATTTAAAATCAGATCTATTTATTTATTTAAAAAAGAGTGACATATATAAATATTTTATTTAATAAAATGAGTAACAATATTATTAGTGATCTGTGCATCAATTGTCTAGTTATGTATGTTAAGTCATATATACTAGAAAGTCATGACGTCATGTTTATGCTGAATGTACAATAAAATTAGGTATATATATATATATATATATATATATATATATATATATATATATATATATATATATATATATATATATATATATATATATATATATAACGCCAGATCATTTTAGAAAAGTTTATAAGGCGTGAGATTTTACAAACAATAAGCAAAGAAAAGAAATAATGAACAATGTCAACAACTTTCATTTAAGGAAGAAGGGAATACTATTTAAAAAAATCATCTAGTCCCCTAAAATATTCTAAGAACTCTATTTTGTTCCCTAGACTTTTTCTCAAATTCATTAATGGTATGTTTGGGAATATGGATTTGGATTTTAAATTCGGATTTGGCTTAAATTCTATATTTGGGAAACTTAAGCATTTTAAATTTGGATTTGAATCAAATTCTTTACATTCAAAATAAAGCTTAATTTGAAATTCATGCACCTCCCTTTGTCATTTGAAATTCAGAATTTCAAATTTTGGAATTGAAATGCATCAATTGAAATGAAATGCTAGTTACCAAATACTACCTAAGAGTAAACCGACCTTATCTAATGTAAAACTTATGATATGATGTATCTAGCTAGTCTATAAATGCCCAAGGCACAATCCATAATTTTCTAAAGAATATCTGTGTTCTAAAAACTACCAAAAAAAAGGAGTAATGGTATTGAACAATTTCATTACTTGATTAAAAATTAAAATACTCGTGTTCAAAAAAATAAAACACACAGAAGTAAGTACTCATAGAAAAGTGACAAAATAGAAAAGTGTTTAAGGAAAAATAATGTACTCATAGTTCAAAAATTCACATACAAAAAAATACCCCTCCGTCCATGTAAGATGTTCTCAATTTGATTTTTCACGCTTTTTTAGGAGAGTTGAAAAAAGGTGAAAGTTTACCAAAATACCCTTAATGAAAATGGGTGGGGTGTATTAAATAAAGTGGAAAAGGTGTAATAAATAAAGTAAGTGTGGGTAGTTGTGGTATTTTAATTATTAAAAAAGGTAATGAGAAGATCTATGTGGGACAAATAAAAAGGGCAAATGGGAAGATCTATGGGGGACGGAGGGAGTAGTCTTTAATTTGTGAAACATTTTTTAAAGCTGAAAATAAAATATATAAATATAAAATTAGGGATAACAAGTACTAACCAAATTTGAGGGTAATAATAATAATATCTCCATCTCAAAATTGTTTACAAAAGTGATTTCATTAGATTACGAAGAATTATTAGAAATTTATTTTATTGCATTAATATGCAAAGAAATAAGTCAAAATAGAAGCAAAAACATGACTCTAATCCCCAAAATAGAAGTGACATATTTTTAGGACAATTCTCAATCCATGAAGTTTAATATAAAAAATGATTACATACTATGTATTACGCCTTTTAAAAAATAAGGATATCTAGTCCAACTATGAACTCATAAAAAATATGTAAGGTTATATTTTACATGAAGATCTTAGAACAACAACATTAGAACTGTAAAATATAATTAAACTTACTCTTAAGGTCGTAGAGATAAAGTTACTAAGGGTAGAACTATTACACTGTGACACTATTTGACATTCGATAGTGTTTTTGGTACTATGGGTGTAATTGATCGAAGGTGGGGGTGTTCGGATCAGGGTTGAGGTAGGAGGGTTTACCGCGTAGGTTAGGAGAGTAGTACCCATCAATTTTACAAATGGAGAACTGTAGTGGCCCTGGATCATCTCATGATATGATGTTCTAATAATATTATAGGAATGCCTCCGTTATATATTGTCATTGTTAATATTATACTCCCTCCGTCCCTTAATAAACTTTCCCTTTCGTTTTTTCTTTGTCCCCAAATAAACTTCTCTTTTCCTTTAAAAAACCCCTTTTACCCCTTAAACTTCTTTTTTCATACCCTACCTATCACATCATACCTTTTTACTAATAATCCACATATCACATCTTACTTTTACACATCACATCAAGGGTATTTTTGGAAAGTCAACAAAAAAATATCTCTCACTTAAATTCTCAAAAAATCAAAAAGGGAATTGAAGTTTATTTAGGGACGAATGGAGTAGTTCTTGTATTAAAATAAAAAACATGAAAGCTTGATTTTGTCCTTGCGTTTTTTAATGATTAAAATCAAACTCGGTCATAGCTAGGGTAGAGATAAAATTGCTAAGGGGATTTGTATATACTTTTCAAACTATGTAAAAATTAATCATAGAAGGCACACACCCACCAACTTATTGAATTGGTATATATATGTGTGTGTCTTAAATCTTAATTGCTCTGATATATGATGAATTCCATCTTCCACCTCGAAGACGGAGAGCGAATCTCCTTTCTTTTCCATCAGATGATCCACGCCTTTGGATCCACTTACATTTCCCTCTGGTCCTTTGTGCCCTCTCCCTCCAAGTATATACATACTAACTCCGTCCCAAAAAGTCTTTTCTGTTTCATTTTTTGCGCATCCCATAAAACACTTCTACTGACATCTAAAATGCCTAAAATTTACAACATTTCTTTTTTATTGTAGGTAGAAATTGTTTTGAAAGTTTTTTTGGCATTCAAAGCGGGATAGAAATGTTTTATGGGATGCGCAAAAAATGAAACATGAAAGACTTTTTGGGACGGAGGGAGTATCTTTTTATATATTATACTCCCTCCGTCCCAAAAAGATTTACACCTTTCAAAAAATTTGCGTCCCACAATCTTCTACTCATTTCTATTAAAAAACCACTTTTACCCCTTATTTTTTCAATTCATACCTATCACATCATACCTTTTTCCTAATAATCTACACATCACATCCTACTTTTAGCCATCACATCAAGGGTATTTTTGGAAAGTCAACACAAAATTATCTCTCCCTTAATTTCAACTTTAGTCAAAACGTGTAAATCTTTTTGGGACGGAGGGAGTATTATATATCTGATCTATATATGCATGCATGCATCATATACACATATACACATACATATACATATATACATATACACATATATATATATAATAGATGAGTATATATAATAATGTGATATAATAATGCATGCAGCTATTTGGTGTCCGTGGAAGGGATGTACAACAGTGAAAACATAGTCGCCCACAGGCTTTTTGATGAGTACAGGCAGACATTACCACAAGTTCTCTACCATGAAGGGTTAGTTAATTACTTAGTTAATTACTACTTAATTGGACGTGCATGTTTAACTATCATTTGGAAAGGGAATCTTCTCTAATTTGGACATTACACTTCAGTGTCATAATATGACACCGGAGTAATCTGAGGTCCTTATTATGATGATGTTTCGTTTGATTCTGAGGTGGCTCATATCCCCTAATTAATCTCCTACCCGCCAGTCGCTTCCGTATCTTCTTGACATGACATTGTGATCAAAATGTCGTCTAGATAGCTCATCATAATGTTAACCGAAATTGAAGGGTACAATTGAGGAGTTGGGGGTGGGCTTGCGGGTTGTGGTGGTAGAGTTTAAGAGGTAGGTATGGTCGTTGTAGGAATATACTTGATGCACAAGGTTGGATGGACAAGGTGGTCGATCACCCGTCCAAGCCCATTTTTAGAGAGGCTCGATCCCAATTGTGTGTGTGTGTGTGTAATATATATCCACTATATATTCTTATCATTATGATGTTAATTATTGTTAAAAGAATTAATTGATTGATTTTACTTCATGGTGACATGAGGGTTCATTTTCTCTATACGTGTCATATATGTTGGGTCCCTGATTCCTCTGAGACGACGGCGCTCTAAGAAATCAGTTTAAAATCATACGAAACATCGTAGGGGCTTCAGATTGGCTACATAGTGTACTATGTCATTGGTCCGGAGTTTTGGCTTGTGTTTTGTTTTTCATTTGTCTTAGTATAAATTAAGCTTGTTTTATTGTTGTTTACTATTGTTGTATATGGTTTTCTTAATTAATTAATCTCATCAGCCGCATTCCGGGAATGGCATTTAAGAACAATGTTCCATATCTGGAGGTGATGTTGCCAGATCTTGAAAGGCTTGCATCCAATGAAGTGCAGAAGCAGTTCTATATGGTAATTAATGAATAATTATTCATAATAATCATAATATTAGTTTATTAGATTCTGAGATTAATTAATTTTCTGCAGGAGATTGTGGTTTTTATATATTTTTTTTGTATTTGATGTATGATGCAGGAGGCCGGAATAAAGGTTTGGTTTAGTTGTTGCATGCACACACTACTCAAGTATATGAAGAACTCCACCTTCAATTCCTTTTTTTTGTAAGAAATGTACAATTTTTACATTGAATTTTTAGACAGCAATTTTTATGGGATGTGAGGCAGGAGAGATTGAGCTTGGATGGTGTTCTCCCCCTCAGGTCAAACCATTTATGTTTTTTTAATAACTTGTGATTAAAGAAACTAAACAAGAAAATTTTAGACGATTGTGGACGAGTGTGCGTGTTAAGGCTCAATGTGATTCAACGATACAATATGTTCACAGAAATCAACCTAAATATGACTAAAACATAGAGAAAAGTACTAAAATAGGGCGTTCATGTTTTTTCACGAAATAGGACTTTGAACTGTGGTAATGTGGCATTGTACATGTGCACATTACTATATTTTTTTGGTAATGTACATGACCATGTATGTTAATGTAAGTCCTATTTCGAGAATAAAAATACGAATACCCTATTTTGGTATATATTCAATGTTATAGTCATATTTTGATCTTTCACCCTTCACAATTAGATCAATTTTTAGGTATTTACTCCGTATGGTATTATAAATTATAAATATCACATTTATGTTTAATGAAATCTATTCAAACAATAATTTATGGATAGGTTAACATGGAGATGGAGATGAAAACTCTGTTCCCAGAAGATTTCTCAAGGCAAGCAGCTGCCACGTCATCACTTCTCGCAAGATGGATTTCTTCAACCCCTCCGCTTCAACCCGACCCGAATCTCCCTTCTTCCTCTTCCTCCTCCCTCAGATCCTTATCTATAGACAGCCCGGAGTCCCTCCTTTTCAATGTCGCCGCAACCACTTCTTATCCATCTGTGCCGCCGCCTCCGACGGCGGAGGCGTTCTCCGATCACACGGCCATGCGGATTCATCCGCCACCGGCGATCCAAACCCTAGGCCAGATCAGAACCGTTGATTTCCAATCAATGCAGAGCGAAGAAGCCGCCATTGCCAGCGCTTTCCTCGCCGTAATTTCTTCCTCTTCCTCATTTCATCTGGAAGAGGAAAGGTTCTCAAGGTCGTCCACCGCTTTCCGGAAGTACGGCGGCGGCGCTCGGCCGAGCATCCAGGCGATTAGAAAACAGAGTGTGCTCAAAAGATCAATCGCATTCTTCAGGAACCTGAATTGGTTAAGACGGCAAGGATTGATCCGGCCGGCGAGCCGCCACACGACGACGCAAGTTCATCACATGATTTCAGAGAGAAAACGGCGCGAAAAGCTCAACCGAAGCTTTCAGCAACTCAGATCGCTCCTCCCTCCTGGAACTAAGGTATACTCCATCTATCCATAAATTTGGAATTGAAAATACTAACTCCATATATCCGAATAATTATGTTTTATAAATAATTTGATCAAAACAAAGAAATGAAAAAATTAGTTTAAAAATAATATTTTTGTTGCGGTAGAAAGAAGCACCCGTTAAATTTACCCATTGGGGCACATATAAAGAATGTGACATTTGTGAAAATGTACAGAAAGACAAAGCATCAGTGCTTAGCGCCACAACAGAGAAGTTGACGTCTCTAATCTCCCAAGTGGAAGAGCTGAGGAGAAGGAACCAAGCACTGGAAGCGGCGGAGATGTCGATGAAGACAGCCGCGAGTGCGAGGGAGGAGGCGGTGGCCTCCTCCGCCTCCTCGTCCCCGACAAAGGTGGAAGTCCGGTTAACGAGCGCGGGCGAGGCGGGGACGACGACGTGGGAGGAGAGCAGCAGCAGCAGGAGAGGTGTGGAGGTGCGAGTGAGAGTGGGAGGAGAGAGTACTACTGGGGCGGCGGGTCTGGAGGTGTTGGTGGTGAGGTTAATGGAGTTGTTGAAGGAGGTGGGGAATGTGGGTTTGGTTTCTGTGCAAGCTCACACCACCACCACATCACCCACCTTTTCTTCTTCTTCTCTTCATCGGATCATCTTCACTCTCGCAATTCAGGTATGCATAAATACAATTAACCACTTTCTTCAGTTTGAAAACATGAGTTCTTGAATTTCAAATCTTTTTTTGTCTTTTATCATGTCTTAATTTTGAGGGTTAAAAGTATAATTTTACAATAAAAATATATCTTTCTTGTCATACACAACTCTAAGGCTCTTCCTGATGCATCGTTTGTTAATTACAATCGTTTTCTACTACAACCATAGTATAGTCTTTCGTCAGAATTCTATCTCAAAATCATAGACATTATTTTTTGTGTTATTCATCTAACCAATATCGTAAGAATATGTCGCTGGGCATAAGGTTGATGTCAAATTATACTTTTAGTCTTTAAATTAACACCAACATGGTAAAGATTAAAAAAGGATCATTTGTAGAAAGGTACCAATAACAGGGCTACAGTATTAATATTTAATAATAAAAGACTAAATATGAAAATCAGATGTTATAAAAGATCGATTATGAAATTTACTCATTCTAAATTTATGTTTCCAAGGCTCCAAGCACATAAAGGTTAAGCACAAGAAAGATAGGTTTTGATATCTTACCGTATTACGACTTTTTGTATTTTGGAATTTCATCTCAAATTTAGATGTGAACCAAATTGTATGTCCGTAAATCTAAAAAAAAATTTGGATTTGAATCAAGTTTTTCTAATAACTTCCGACAAACGTTAATTATAAAATCATACACTTTTCGCTATAATTTGAATTTTTTTAAAAAAATACATAAATTATAGATTTGAAATTTAAGAATTCAAATAAAATAAAAATATTCAACGACATTTCCTCTTTGAACAACAAAATATTGACCATGTTGATTTAATTAAAAATCCTCTCACTGTAACTGCAGGGGGGTGAATTTGACGAATCTTCTTTTCTGGAAGCAGTGAGAAGAGTTGCGGCTGACTTGTTTGTATGATTGAGGGAGCGTTAACCTCAAGGTGGCGCAATACCAACATGACACTTGTCAATTTGTCATTGGATGATTTGATTTTTTTTCTTAAGTCCAACCAATTATTATACCACGCCAATAATGACTACAACATAGTACTCTCACGTACAAATGTTTGTATTTTTGTGAATTTATCGGTCCAAGATGGAATCGCCCACCCCAGGCGCCCCACCCCCTTGCCCGACAGGAATGGTGGAGGATGTAAATCATGGTGACTCAGTCGGCCAAGAACGCTAGACCTGTGCCCACCGCGCACAAGGAGCCTCCTCACCCTTTATGGGATTTTTGGATAGCTCCCACACTGCCGCTTGCGGAATTCGATCCCTGGTCATCGGTCCAAGATTTCACGCTCTTGACCAACTGAGCTACCCATGCGGGCGTAAACTGTGGTAGGGTAAACTTTTTATAGTGACTAGCCCCACCGCTTTCGCGGCCCCATACCCCAGAAACCCAACTTTGGCTTGGTCCTACGGGTTAGTATACACCGCTTGGCCCTACCACTTGAAGGGTTTTTTGGGGAGGCATAGTTCCACTGGCGCAGAGTGGGACTCGAACTCGAGACCTCTCCTCTGGAAGGGTAACTCCACAACCAGCTGAGTTGAGTTGCTTCGTTTTTGTGAATTTATTCATGAAGGACTGAAGGTTAACCTTTAGGTAGCACAACTTTTATACTACTTTCTTCCTTCCGTTCAAAAATTATTTTCTCGTTGTGCGTTATGATGTTTGGCTGAAATTATTTTCATTCTATTTTATTTGAAATTTAAAATGTTGTAAAATTAAAAAATTACAAATTACATTATTAAAAAACTAAATCAAAAGATTTACAAAACTAGATGTGATATAACTATATTATTTCATCAAATCGACAACAAAAATAACTCAGCAAAGTGAATACAATTTGTATATATAAATAGTGAACGAAATGATAATTTTTGAATGGGAGAGGAATTTAATTTTTTTTTGTGAGTTTTGAGTATATACTACTCCGTATTATAGAGTCATCACGATTTTTTTTATTACTCCGCATTATTTGTTAGTGACAATAAAGTGATAAAAGCAACCAAACTAATGACATACTCCGTATTTTGTTTGTTGTTGGACTTGGAAAGAAATGAACATTGTTTTCCATTTTAATTGGGTCATGTTTGAGTTTGGCCCAAGCTTCTTTGGATGCATCACGTAACTCTTGACATCTTTGTTCTTTTGTACTCCATCAAATTATCTAAAATTTGTGGTCAAGGAAAATATCTCCAAAATAATGGCTTGATATAATTATACTCAAAGTGAAGAATATTAGGTATGAAATGTAAATATTAGCCTAAATTACTATATACGAGAAATTACGATAATTTAGGTAGAAAATATATTTAAAATATCCTAAAAATGTTAAAAATACATTTGGAACGTCTGGTTTATACTTAACTACTTTCAAATTTTGGACCCTCTTCTTATAAAAGTCGTGTACCAAAGATAGCGTGGGGGGACACATCAGTTTATGTGCATTTGCGTGATAGGCCCAACACATAAACCTATGTTGGACACTTTGTTAATTCTTTTTTTAAGTGGGATAAAAACTCTCAACACACGCTAGTTTGTGCGCACTTGCGCGACATGCTTAACAATAAGCTCATGGGAGTTTCAACTTAAAACTAATTGACAATGTTGGTTCTTTAAACTCCCAACAAATTGATTCAGTAGGGTGGCTAGGGGCTAGAGCATATGATTTCTAAAATATTAATCTTTTGATTTTATTTTTAACTTTTGTTCAATTTCATGAAAACGAGATGTTCAAATCTTACCGAGATAGCCAACATGGGGATAAGTGTATATCCCATGGTGATGTTAAATTAGCACAATAAATATGCAATACACTATTTATACTCCTTACTTTGTAATATTTTACAATGTAGTTGAGCGTGAATGAATATATGATGTGTAACTTTGACAATATAATTTTGTTAAAACTGATCAAATTAAATATCTATCTTCGAAAATTTTATTTTATCAGCCACATACAAATATACAATTAAACTTTAATTTAATAAAATGAAGTACAGAATTTTACATTTCATAACAATGCTATTTTCAATTAATATTACGTAGTAATAAAAAAACAATGCTCCCTTTAACTTACTAAATACTCATTAATTTTCCGAACTCACAATGAACGAATGATTCGTTCAAATACTGAAAATATTGTGAGAGAGATCTGTGAAATGTTGCCTCTGGTACATACCCAAGAGGGGTATTATGGGCATACAAATGGAGACTGGCATTGATTGATCATTGAGACCCAAAACTTGGACCAACTCCTGACCACAAAAGAAAACAAACAATGGTGTTACATATTAAATCTCTAAATTAGAAGGCCATAAACAGGATACTTCACATTACTGGACTATGATAATCATCACAATGGCTCTGATGCAGCAGATGCAACTTCTTCATCACTAATGTCGGATGCAGTGGGGTCCACTTCCACGTCGTCTTCGGAAACACCTTCCTTTTCTTGAACATGAAAAAGCTTCTCCGAGAGTTTCGCTGTGAGGTCTTCCTTTACAGCGGCGTTATCAGCTAGGAATCTTTTTATGGCATCTTTGCCGCGGAAGTTTTGGTCATTCATGGCGTAAAATGCCCCTCCCGTCTTCGTGATGAACTTGTGTTTCAGTCCCAACTCAATGAGCTCAGATTCACGACATATTCCCTTCCCAAACTCAAGCTGAAACTCGGCTGTTTTAAAAGGAGGGGCAAGCTTGTTCTTTACGATTTTCACTACAACTTGGTTTCCTATAATCTGTAAAAACAGAAAACATTCTCTAAACAACTCTCAGGAGAATAACCGTATCCCTACCGATAGTGGACTGAAAGTATAAGGTAGAGAGACCTTTGCAAAAGACCCTTGGCTCAAGAAAACAATAACAAAACATGTCAATGTAAACCCGCAACAACTATATTTACGTTAAAATGCGCACCTCTTCCCCCTTCTTGACCTGCCCAACTCTCCTGACATTTAGACGCACGGAAGCATAAAACTTTAATGCATTTCCCCCACAAGTGACCTCTTGGGGTCCTCCAAATCCTGCAAAAGTAGATAGTTTTGCCCTCACCTGAAACAAAATGCAAATTCTAAGCAAACCTTTGTTCCGTCCATTTTCTTGAATGAGTTTACCACTAAATAATCATTGAATCAATATGCTCATTATTTTATTGAACAAAAAAAAACTTCTATATTTGCAAATTGCATTCAGCTCAGTTCAAAGATGGTTTTGCGATGCACAAGTGCTAAACAAAAGCTTCGAGTACGACACAAGCAATGAAGTCAACACATATTAATGATGTTCTATCAAACACGAAACACCTGATAAAATTAGGTGTAAGAACCATACGAGGCTTGAGCATTATAATACGATTAGATAAGATAGTGATTAGCATTGTTAAATCCCATGGATATTTTAACTACCACTCCATACATATCATAAGAGGGAACGCGTCATAAAAAAGATGTAATAACATGCATAAAAAAATAAAGGTAAAAAGGAACCATTAGACTTGTTACATTGCTAATATTAATGGCAGCATATGACACTAGAAGCGTTTACGCCCATACCTGATTTATAAAGATCAAAGTAGTCTGTGATAGAGATAAAGAATGGCTCAACTTGCGAAGTGCTTGACTCATTAATCTAGCCTGCATTGCCATGTGTGCATCTCCCATTTCACCTTCAAGTTCACCTTTTGGGACAAGGGCAGCTACCTGCCAGTCAAAGCTCATCACAAATACATACGGGCAGGTCTAATACAAAGAACCATGATAATTGGTTGTGTGATCTATCTTACGCTGTCAACAACAATAACATCAATTGAGCCACTCCTGACCAGAGTATCCACAAGACTAAGGGCTTGCTCACCACAATCTGGTTGAGAAATAAGTAAATCTTCAATATTCACCCCAATACGTGTCGCTAAGGCTGGATCTAGAGCATGCTCGGCATCCACAAAACAGCAGTAACCTAAAAAAGGCCGATAAACAGATTTCGCAATTTTTAGATTTAGATCAATCCCAACTTATTGTAACATTTACCTAATAAATACAAATAAGAAAATACACTCTTTAATGACCAAGATGCTGAATTTGCCCCATTAGTCAACATTATGCTAGCCCTTTTCCCCTCTTCTTCACATGATTTCAGTTTGATATAAATAATACGAGTAAAAAAGAATAATAAAAACGGATAGAAGGATTGGTTCTGTATATTGATTTTACAAGATTTTTATCACCTTGTTTGATTTAGATCTTTTTGGAATGTGCCCAAAATAAAAAAAAATCAAAACTTTCTAGTCTATGAACTTGCTGCTACCTTGGGAGAAAAGGATTTCATATTTAAAAAAAAACTGAAAGCAATATGTATATTCTGCAAATGAGATTAACTATAGCAGATTCTTCCATTTTATTTACTGCTTTGGTGGTGTAGTTTCAGAAATCTGCCTAGTTTGTTTACGAGTGTAATAATATCCAAAGTTTGGAGGCTCCCTTCAAGGCCTCAACATAATGCAAATTTGGAGCTGCCACAAAGTTTACATCCAAGCGTCCATTGCTAATAGAGCTAAAAGAGTCATTATTGACAATGTTTTAGCTTCAGGTAAATAATGAACTAAATCAAAATAGCAAACTAGACTTTCTTCACTTCTTGCTTTATATGCAATTTTTGGGTAGTAAATGTGGCAATGCATCAAGTGTGGAAACTGTAAAGGAAAAAACCTCTTTTTTTAAAGGGGTAAGGCTGCATACAGTAGTCGGGATTATATTGGGTTTTTTTGTTGTTGTTGTTGTTGTTGTTGTGGTTGTGCAAAGTTTACATGCAGAAAGGCATGTCTAGAAGCCATTCATTATGTGTCTTCTAGTTACATTATCTTTCAGTTGAAAAAGAAAAGGCATGACAGCTAATAGGTTATGTCTAAGATTGTAACCTCCTTGTTTTTGTGCCTCGGCAATTATATGTAAAGCAAGTGTTGTTTTCCCTGTAGCCTCTGGACCATATATTTCTATCACACGTCCCTGCATGAAACTGAAAGGTTATACGCTAGAAACATTTGACATACACCAGCAACAGATACAGCATAGAGATGTTAGTAGCTATGCAATCCTTGTTTATGTCCATTTTTCATAACAATAAATCACAAATGCTAAAATAAATGTTCCAAGCGTTGAAAAATGCAAAACTGCCTAATGGAAACACCATTTAGTAATGGATGTACCACTAAAACCATTAAAATGCAGAACGTTTCCCCTTCATCAAAATTTGCCAGATTTACTTTTTTTTTTTTATTTTTTGCAGGTCTAAGATTACCCACCTTTGGAATTCCGCCAACCCCCAATGCAATATCTAAAGAAAAGGATCCCGTCGAGAGCACTGGGACTTGTTTGAAGGAGTTAGACCGACCCATCCACATGATGGATCCCTTGCCAAATGATTTTGTGATCTGATCCAAAGCTGCTTTAAGAGCCACGTCTTTCTTCGACAAATTTTCATCACTTGAGTCACTTTCATCTAACTTTGATTTCTTTTTAACTGAAGATAACAGAGGCAAGCAGCCAAATACTCAGCTTATAAACATCTTCTGAAATTGACCGCACTTTCAGTAAGCACAACTTTGTACGGAAAAACTGTTTGGGCAAAACACTATCCACATGAATATAAGTGTATTCTAAGGTGCCCGTGAAAAGAGATTGCCAGTATATCTTATCACCAAGCACATGAACAAGTTTATATATTGAAAATTCATTGCTTGAAAAATGTTTAGGCAAAACACTATCCACATGAATATAAGTGTATTCTAAGGTGCTCCTGAAAAGAGATTTCAAGTATATCTTCTCACCAAACACATGAACAAGTTGATACATTGAAAGTTTATTACTTGAATTACATTGAGGCCTAGGTAAATGTGAAGATACTAATCAAACACTAAAAGACATAAAATGCAGGTAAAACTAAACTAGACCGAATTGAACCAATGCATTAAAATGTTACAGGTTTACAGGTGTGAATGGATATATGAGAAACCAAAAATGATCACACGCACCTTTAGAAGAAAAGTATGAAAGCTGGGTATATGCACCGACTACATCATTCTGAATTCCCTGCCGAACAAGAAACGTAATCTGAACTTGGTTTGTAAATGAGGCATTTTGAATAAGCAAAACACACCAAACTATAAGGAGCACCTATGGCCAAGCTATACAAATAGTACCAAAGCACGAACCATAGAAAACCACGAAGTTAAAAAATGAAGTGAAATTACTTATTAATTTCTCATTGAAAGTAATTGGGAGAAAGAGTAATTCTAATGTTTGGCATCTCATTCAAGAAAATGAGCTGTGAAAATGGACGATTTTCCACTTGCAGGATGAAACTGATTCTCAATAAGAGGTAGAAGTTGGATTCTAATAAAGATTGGAACGTAATTACATAAACAGCAATTCCAATGGAAAGCACCAAACATCCAAAAAAGATCCTTTTTTTCGGGCTGCAGTTTATCATTTCCCAACTTTATGCTATAAGTTAAAACCAATGAACCATAAATGGAACTTTTCCGTATGAAAAAGAGTTTAAAAATTCACATTGAAAGGTTTGTTGTTCTGGAACTCCCCAAATCTCGCCACTATCGCGAAAGGGGTGAGAAAACTGCAGTGGATAACGAGAGATTGACAACAGCTTACCTGCGTCTGGGGAAACAGAGAACGCTTGAGCGACGAAAGATTTCGAAGCACCCTCGCCATTGTAGTTCAGTAAAGTGGAGCTTTGAAGGTTGGGCGGGGAAGGAGATGGAGTTAGGGCTTATTCAGGGGGTTTGTTCGAAGTATTCAACAATACTTTCCCTCCTTTTTAACACCACCTCCCCTCAACTAAGTCCCAAGAGTCTCACCCTTTTTTTTAGAAATACTTTTGAGTTTAAATTTTTTTTTTTATCTCAAATAGTCTTATTTTTCGTGTTCTTTCGAAAATAATCTTACTTTTTATAGTCACAAAAAATAATCTCACATTTCTGTATATGTGTGAGTTTTGGATCGCCTTTAAAAAGGTAACAGTCACTTAGTAGAATTTTTGGAAAATACATACTTTTCGCAAATAAATGAGAGGTAGAATTATTATAGGTAATTTTTTGTTTTTTAATTTCTAGATTTAGATATAAATGTATTTTCAAAAAATAGTTTTATAAATAATACCAAATTTAACTGTTTTTTAGAGTGAAACTTATTATTTTCTGAGTGAATTCCCAAAATGATTCTTTCTAATAGATTATTTTCCCAAATTAGTCATCGATAAATAATAATTACCAATGTGGTCTTTTGTAATTGAGAAGTATTTCCTAAATAGTTATCTACCGAAAATGTATATTAAATGTCAATCAAATAGAAGGTATTTTGATATTTTCTATCATCTAGACTTAAAGTATATTCTCGAAATGTTTCCTTATAATTAAGTATTCCGTATTTTTGAAACTCCTAATTTCAAAGTAAATGTTTTCCCAAAATAAAGTCCATGAGCCTACTCGGGGTGGTCTCTTCATCTAGCAGACACCTACTTAATTTGAAAGAACCATTTTGAAGTCTATTTATAGTTTAAATGATTGAAAATACAAAAAGATCATTCATTTAGCTGTCATTAATATGCATTTTTTACAGAGAACTATTTAGAAAATATATCTCAATTACAAAGAATCATACTGGTAATTACGGAGTATTATTTATTGAAGACTAATTTACTAAAACACTTTATTAGGAAGTACTATTTTGAAAGTTTACTTTTATTTTTTTAATAATTGATAATATGATAAAAATTGAACAAAAAATTATTACAATGACGTTTAGGGAGAGCATTTGGTTATGCGGAGGAAGTTGTAGCAAGTCCGGATATCTGCGAAGGTTAGGAATTTGGTATGGAGGGCAGCAAACAAGTGTTATGGTCCAATTACTCCAATCTCTATTGACTCTCACTCCATACTAAATTTTATCGTTGTATCGGAGCAAGTTTTAACATGTTTTGACTCGCTTCATTTGTCAAGATATCTATCTAGAAATCGTGGTCAACCATTTGAAGAGCGTGAAAGAATATTTTCTTTCCAAATTCTTTGAACGAAAGAGTGCAAGAAACAATGTAGAAACTGTACTTCGTATCACTTTTCTTTTCCATTTACCCATGGTTTTCTAATGCAGATTGGGCCAGTGGGCGTTGCGCAGTTGGCAAGACAAGAGGTGCCAAGAGGGTAAGACCCAAGTTCAATTTCTGCCAACTGCGATGGAAGGCAACTATGCTAAGCATAGGACTTGTGCAAGTATCAGGTGCAAACTCTACTCTTTGCCACCAATCTGTGATTAAAGTCTAATTTACCTCCTCCTAGTGATCGTCCGGCCAGATCCGAGAGTGCCCTCGGAGATGGAGCTCATCCTTTTTTTCTAATGCAGATTGGAGGTACGGGTCTAAAGTGTATTGTTATCACACAATCGAGAGAAGAAATACACGGAAAAAGTCCAGAGCGAAATGAAATCATTCTCAATTTCTACTCTATTTTCATTTTCCACATAAACAAACCCACAATATATGCACCCTTTCCGCTTGAACACTTATTTGGTTCAAGAAATTTGAAATGAAAAAGAAAATAAAATAATATTAAAAAAAATCCTTGTTTGGTTAAGAAAAAGGGAAAAAACCTTTTTCTTTTCCTTTCCTTCATAATTTCTTGAACCAAACGTCGCGTAGGGCTCTAATACGCAACGGAAGATCATTAGTAAGAACGGAAAAGGTAAAAGGGGAAGGGGAAAGCCACCCAAATACAAAGACATGCACCCATAGAAACAACTTGGGTGTTAGATTGTTGAAATAAGCCATGGAACAACCAGAGATCATATATGTACCCACAGCAACATGCATATTAAGTTTATAATAATGTATAAAACAAGAAATTCTCAACACTAAAACTTCAATTCTCAAGAAAGGATAACAAACAGACCATGGCACACTTAGAACCAATCATATCCACACTGCGGAGGGGGTAGAGAAAAGATTTCTGATCTGCAACCATGCATATATACGAGCACCAATTCACATAAACAATGTTAGTATTATATATTTATATGATGAATTGAAGGCTCCTTTGGGAATTCAATCCTTTTTATGATTACCAGGAGAGCAAAGCTTTTCTAAACCTTTTCCAAGTGAAGGGGAGCATATCTTTTCCAATCCTCGACCTATGGTTGTTTCGAACCCACCTTCCTCCGTAGGTGAAGAAATGGTGCTATCAGTATCTTTCTTTGGGTGAATTGCCTCAACAATGGCCTCGATTTCTTCCTTGGCTCGTTCAAACACGTTTGGGCCTTTGACCTTACTGATAGGGGTGTTTTCGTCAATGTCATCACTCATTCCATGAGTTTCTCTATGATGATGGTGAGAACCCGGTGACTTCATCTTACTCATTAGATCTTCCATCTCCTTTTTAGACCTTTCTAGCCAACTGGGGTTCTTCGCATCCTTCTCTATCGAAACATAACACAGACAAGTTTAAAAAGGAACAGTTAACCACCTGTAATTACATTTTCCGAAGTGTAAATTTTGGTTGTGATGACTGAATGTGATGAATTTTCTGAAATCATAGCCGATATAGCTGGATTTGCTGATCGAGCTGAATTAACTATGAATATACTATTATTTTTTTAAAGATAAAAATAAGATTATCTAACAATGAAAGAGGCATTTCTTTTTTTTTTTTGCCATAAAAAAGGTCATTTTTAACTGATCCAATACGCTCCTTCATCTGGGATTTTACTGGGTTTGTTGTCATGTTAGGTGATTGAATGAACGTAGTTAACTTTGTGTTTGGTGAAAAAAACTGACTAATAATGAGATTAACAGATACTAAATGCTATCTAGAATGTACAGGTCTTTTCACAAGAATAAATACTGATTCTATGGAGAAGGCCCAACCCAGAACAAGTAAACTTCTGCTGCTATTGCAACATGAAGTCAGAAGATTTTAGAGACAAAGAAAAAGCATATCCACCATTTAAAACTTAAAAGCACTAACCAAGATGCTTTTTCTTTTCTTTTCTTTTTCTCAGTGACCAGCTTAGAGCATTGTCTTTGCCTTGCACTATATACATATACCCATATATATGTTGGCAGCCAATCACTGTTTTCCATCAATCCCTCAAGAAAAGCATCAAAACTAAAACCTAGCACGTAAAGGGAACTTTAGAAACACACTTTTAACAGAAACATTTGACTATTGGACATTTTAGGAAAAGGAAGTCTTAACAAACATGATGCTCTGCAAGGAGATGATTTTAGTCAATCGTGTAAGTAAAAATTTGCAAACTGATGCAAAAGGAAAAGAAAAACTGTTCAAGGAAGTTAGAATTTTGCCCCTTCAGGATAAATGAACGGTTTTTTAAAAAATTCCTAGCCATCCTGACAACGTGACATGCTTTTTGCTTCAAAGCTTTGAGTCATTTTGAAACTATGTTTGGTTAAGAAAAGCATAATTCAACATTGGCACATCATCCAAACTCCAAGTCAATCACACAAATAAAATTGCCAGTTAGAAGGATTCAATCAAACCCAACTTTTAGAGATGTATTCTCAAATTTATGCTGAGTTCTCTATCCATGTATTCCTTACGTCCTATTTTATTTCTAAAGCTTTCCGTTTTAGCCCTTTCCAAAATAATACTTCATTGGTTTTGCTAAATTGAACAACACAGATTTTGTTTTTCCAATAACTTTCCACCTTCATAAATGTATAACCAATTTCACTTGGTGGGTTCAATTGGAGGCTGGATATTGGAAAGGCTCTGTGTGATTGTACGAAACTAAGTTGTGGAAAGTATTTATTGTCAAAAACTGTTCCCTATTCAAGGTAGAAGACTCTATGTCCCATTATATTTGTCCTACTTTCCTATTAGTTTGTCCAAAAATGCCACTAGCTTTTTACTTTGCTGATGAAAATGATTTGACTATTTGTGTCTTGCTTCTCCATATTTTAAGGAGAATTCAGTAAAATACACATCATTATAACTATTTTTCATTAACCCGCACAATATTATAAGTGTCTTATATTCTGACTGAAGATTATGATATACTATGTAGGGAGTAATATTTAACTCAGGAGAGCAGAAATACAAACTGGTTTACCCAACAAGGCACTCATTTTGCAGAAATGCAAAAAAAAAATCATTTATTATTCTACTATCAAACACTGAAACACGTGAAAATATGGAAAGAATGTAACTCCCTTCAATCGACCAGAACTACATCCCATAATGTTTGTTTCTATAAGACCCGCGTCAAAAGAAATGCACCTTATATTTTGGAAGAAGACTAACAACTGAATACTAACTAAGATTAGATATGCTTAAATGTAATCCCTAATCCTTTTCGAGTAGAAGATCTAAACTTTATGCTGCATATCCACAGACACTGTTCTTTTGGAGCTTCTTATATGGTTATATTGTTCCAAGTGTGTTCAAACTTTAAATACCTTAGCCTATAGCAATGTACTGCCGTCTTCCAAGGACACAAATCATCAAACCAAACATGCATATCCCACTAAAGAGTAGGGCCTAGTGAAGCAAGATGTACCCTGTTGAGATTTTAAGCGCGTAAGACTCTTAAAATATTAAGAACGTGAAAAATAAATAAACTCACTACACAAGAAGAAAATATGAGAGAAAAATTATATCTTCACTATTTCAGAACGATACACAAAAAAAAAACTCTCCCCTGTTTACAAGCGCTAAATACCAGACACTTATAAATAGACTTTTCACACCCTACACCTGGATGTATTTTTTTGAGTAACTAAAACCAGTTACTCCCTACACTCACTCACACAATCCTGTGATATCTTGTGTAGCACCTTTCTCTAAACCCTCCTTCTCTCTCTTAGTGTGTTTTGCCCACCCACATATTGCCTTACTTTTATAACAAAAAAAAGCTCCGTATGCTTGCATGGCTTGAGAAGGAGTCAAGAAACCAAAAAATCCTCTTTGATTTGATGACATGCACCAAGTCAATCAAATATCCCACTTTTGATCTTCTTTGTCCTCTTTGTGATTTTTTTTTCTTTCTTTTTGATTAATTAATCAAACCATGGTCCGGCTCCACCTCGCTCGTTCCGGCAAGGTCACAGTCTCCACCAACCTGAGAAGCTTCAAACGTCACCCGCTTCTTCCATGCAAATGCTCCGCTTGTTGCACTTGTAATTTTTCCTTCTGACAGCTTCCGTGCCAAATCTTTTCCTACAAGTTTATACAAGCCATTTGACAAAACTCCTTTTGCTACTACCATTGCTCCCCTAGAGATTTTTAACACTCCACCTTGAGCAAAAATTCGGCAGCCTTCTGAATCTAAAGCCCCCAAGGAAATCAAATTTCCTTTTAGACCCGGTACATGTTTCACTCCAGTTAATTTTCTCACCACGCCATCAAACATGCGAACTTGCACTGTTCCGACCCCTGCAATTTTGCTCCGTGCACCATTTGCCATCTTCACAGCACCCCCATCACAAGTTTGATAGGTATCAAACTTTTCCTTAACTGAACACATATGAAACGAACAACCCGAATCTAATATCCAATCTGATTTATCTAGGCTCTTTGTGGTTGCCAAAAATAAGTCTTCTTCAGTTTCTTGGCTCGAACTTTCTGCAACCGCAGTCACGGGTGTTTTCCCGTCCTTCTTTTCCTTCCTCCTCTTTGGACAATCCCTTTTGAAATGACCCTCTTCATCGCAGTAGTAACACCGAAAGCTTTTACTACTCGATTTGAAGCGTTGGGACGCGCCGCCCCTCTCTTTAGACCGTCCTCGTTCCCGACCAGCTCCTTTTGCAACCAAAGCTTGACCATCATTTGATACCCCGTTGCCACCCCGCCGAGTCTCGTTCATCAACAACGCAGCAACTACTTCATCAGATTTTAAGGTCTTTTTTCCAAACAAGAGCGTGGTCACGATGTTGTCAAAAGATGAAGGCAATGAAGCCAATAAAAGCAGCGCCTTGTCCTCCTCTTCAATCTTCACGTCAATGGATTCCAACTCTGTTGTAATCTTGTTGAATTCATCCAAGTGCCCATTAAAGTTAGCTTCCTCCGCCATTTGGAGACCAAACAATCGTTTCTTCAAGTATAGCCTACTTGTCAACAATTTTGACTTGTACCGGCTCTCCAACTTGTCCCAAATATCCACTGGGTCCGTCAAACCGAGAACCTCCCGAAGAGTATTATTTGCAAGACATAGGCATATTGTACTTGTTGCCATGTCCTTCAAATCCTCCCACTCTTCATCCGACAATTTTTCTGGTTTGTCGTTCTTCCGGTGTTTGGCCCACTCAGCATCCGTCATTTTTTCTGTCCTCTGAACCTTCACCTTCAGAGCTTTGATTGTCCCTTCCCGAATAAGAACACTTTTTACTCGTTGTTGCCACAAAGTAAAATCGCCACGTCCATCGAAAGGTTCGACAGAAACATTCAAACTTTTTAGCGATGCCATTTTTCAAGTTCTCGACTTTCTTCTCTTACCGCTTAGAAATCCCTCTGCCCCAAATGTAACTTGGCTCCGATACCAATTGTTGAGATTTTAAGCGCGTAAGACTCTTAAAATATTAAGAACGTGAAAAATAAATAAACTCACTACACAAGAAGAAAATATGAGAGAAAAATTATATCTTCACTATTTCAGAACGATACACAAAAAAAAAACTCTCCCCTGTTTACAAGCGCTAAATACCAGACACTTATAAATAGACTTTTCACACCCTACACCTGGATGTATTTTACTGAGTAACTAAAACCAGTTACTCCCTACACTCACTCACACAATCCTGGTGATATCTTGTGTCGCACCTTTCTCTAAACCCTCCTTCTCTCTCTTAGTGTGTTTTGCCCACCCACATATTGCCTTACTTTTATAACAAAAATAAGCTCCGTATGCTTGCATGGCTTGAGAAGGAGTCAAGAAACCAAAAAATCATCTTTGATTTGATGACATGCACCAAGTCAATCAAATATCCCACTTTTGATCTTCTTTGTCCTCTTTGTGATTTTTTTTTCTTTCTTTTTGATTAATTAATCAAATATCCCAACATACCCAAACCTTACCTCTACCTCAAGGACTAGAGAGGCTCTTTCAGAGAAAGCTTTGATAAACAGTGACATATAATGTGGTATAGTGAAGAAAACACCTACATCAATCGCACTCAGCCCCTACAAAGACTCTACAATGCTAGTATGGCGTCTCCATGAACTCCTACCAATGACACATATCAAATATAGCAAACTTCCTACCTGAGTTAGAACTTGAACCCCTGCAAGAAGGAAAAAAAACAAAACCCAGCAACAAAGAAAACCGTCAGTTCAAAGAGAGATATACTCCGTATCATTTACAACATAAAGCAAAACAAAAGTGCAGCCTCAGTCATTGTGAAACCTTTGTTCTTCACATGATCCCAATCTGTTGGACTCCATCTTGGTATGAACTGCGTGAAAGATAGCCTCAACCTCTTCCTTGGCTCTCTCGAACACATTAGGAGCTTTCACCTCAGTCGTCGACGTCTTCTCGTCCAAATCCGTGCGCCTCCCATGAGTCTCATGGTGAGTCTCATGTGAGTTTCCCTTACTATGCAAAACTGCCTCAAACTCTTCCTTCACCCTCACAAGCAGGTTGGGGGCTTTCACTTCTTTCTCTGCCCACAATCAACAACACAATATCCATCTCTGAACAATACATACACTTGTACATGCATTCGTTCACTCAGACATAAGAACAAACACGTTGAGATCAACTTACCAAGATTACAATTTTGAGCGCCCAAGGATCTCTAAATAGAATTTTGACCTTGGGTTTTCATGAGAGCAAGCAAATGTTAAGGAATTGAGATGAAGGAGTTACCTGAAACAGGGGTTGATGATGAGTTCGGATTGGATTCAGACATTGGTGGCTTCTTGACCGGGAAAGAAATGGTGTGCGGGAATTTCAATTCGGATTCCGACTAGGGATCGAGAAAATAGCTCAGGCAGATGCCCAGATGGTCGATTTGGGACCTGTTTGGGAAAATTTTAGAGTTGGCTTTTGTATAAAATTTTAACGGTTCAAATTAATTTAAAAATGCAAACGCTAAACGCTGCACATAGATAGCTTTTTGAAAACGCCAATGCTAATCTCTAACGTCATTCCCAAACAGGCCCTTGGTTTTGATCAGCGGTTATTTTAAATATTAAAAATAATTAAACTCTGCGACAGGGCGCACGAGTATCTGTAGCAGATCCACGACAAGAAGCTAACAGTAGTCGCAAAATTTACACGATTAAAATAGGAGCATGCTACATTTACACAAACATTTACACGGACACAAAGTGTTGGTGTGTTAACAAAAACTAGTTTTACACCAACACAAAATGTTGGTGCAAAACTGCGGGGTACAAATTGGGGTACAAAAAGTTGGGGTACAAGTAGCTTTATCCATTAAAATATGGTCTAACTTTTTTTTCTGCGACAGTCTTTGAAATACCGTCGCTGATAGGCTGCGAGTCTGCGACGGTATCGGCGACGGCTTATCTCTCAGTGGCGGATATTAACACTATGTTTTGTTCAAGAAATTTGAAATAGAAAAGAAAAGAAAATGAAGTGGAAATCATTTTTCTTGTTTGGTTAGAGGGGAAAAGAAAGAAAAAGTGTAAGAAAAAAAGAAAATTAGGAGGCAAAATGTACCAAGTGGATAGAAAACCAAATTCGTTTCATTTTGGCGAGATAATAATAACTGAAACCCATTTTCTTTTCTTTTCGTTCCAAAATCCTTGAACCGGGTAAAAAACTGTTGCAAGCCGTCCATTCAAACTGGTCCACCGTCCGTTCAAACCACCGCTGCCGTCCACCGTCGCACCACCTCACCGTCTAGACCCTCCAGCCCCTCCCGCCGTCCACTGTTGCAAGCCTCAATTTCAAGGTTTTTTTGTATTATTTTCTACATTATTTTGTGTACTTTGGTAAAATTTTATTTGTTTATGTGAAATTAAGAGTGGCTTTGGTAAAATCAAGTTGTGATTTTGTGAAATTATTTTAATTTTGTTTGAAATTGACATGATATTAGATAAATTTGAACATGTTTTAATCTTTGTCATTTAAAATTGTTTGTTTGTATTTTATATATTATACTCCCTAATTAGTTTATATCATTTGTGCATTTTAGATTTGTTTTTTTTAATTTGATATTATTCTCACTACAAAAATTGTTTGGTGAAATTATTATTTTTATATACCTCCAAAGATATACTCGGCATTTGAAGATTCATGAAAATGCAATGTTTGGATTTCTAGAAAAGAAGATATAATATGATTTTGTATGTAAATAGTACACATTTCTTTTTCACTGTTAAAAAAAATATAATGCAAAGTTTGGATGTAAATAGCTCTTTTCATAGTGAATCTCAATAGCCGAGATTTCAAGACATTTTCGCGTAGCAAACAAATACCCCGGAGTAGTTGTTTTCATGTAAGATATGTGGAAGACATTTTGTATAACAAGTTGAAAATGCGAAATTCAAGTGAACTCTTGATTCCTTTCAATATATGCTAAAGACAAAGATAGTATATAGTATATGTGAAATAGTTTTTTATATGAAATTGAGTTGAAATTGTATGAACTTATTTCGATATTGTTTGAAATAGACATGAAATTGGATAAAACTAAATATGTTTTAGTGCAATTGAGATCATTTTAGGTGAATTTGAATTGAAATTGTGTTAGTTAAATCGAAGTTCCTTACTAAATTTTAATTTCCAGATTTTAAAAAAATGTTAGATTTTTTGTTTTTTATTTCATATTTCTCTTATATGTTTGATTGAAGATTGATCATTATTTACTGTGGTTAAAGTTTCTTGCTTGATGACTTTCAATTCATAGGCATTTTTAATATGAGTCTTCCATTCAAAGATCGTGACTTGATGTATAACAAGTACGAGAGAGAAGGTGTTGTTAGTCAAGTATGGAAGGATAATGTTGAAGGGTTTGTAAAGTATTGTGTGTCAAGTCCGAATGTGTATAAGATGCAGAATAAGAAAATGTGTTGCCCATGTACGAAGTGTAAGAATGTTACATTTAGATCATCCGCAAAGATGTTAGAGCACATACTCCGCTTTGGATTCACACCAAATTACCACGATTGGGTATGTCACGGCGAGAATCACGGCGATTGGGTTCTCCGCCAACGACGTGAAGTTCCTCGTCATGCCAATGTCACTAACGTGTTTGATCAAACGGGTAGAGTACAATATGCAGACATGGTATTTGATGTTTTGGGCCCGTTATTTTATTTTTTTCTTATATCTAATTCATTTGTCTTTATTCTTTGAGATTGTTTTATATGAGCTAACTTTAGATTTATTGTGTTTGTTTGTAGATGAGCAATGGTAATGATGATTCCCAGCCCTCACGGATTCCTACTTTAGAACGCCTCCGGCAAAACCTATTTGGTGATTGGAAGTTCTCTAGGGCGGGCTCCTCTAGGACGGACTCTTCTGAGGCGGGTTCCTCTCGGGCTCCTGTTTCGTCGCCCTCTATAACATCGGGACCATTGAACGGTTCGCAGAGGTCACCTGCCACTCCACTTACAGAGACATCAGATATTGGTAATTCTAGCTTGTTTATTTTTTTAGGTTTTGAAGATGAATACTTCTATTTTGTGTTATTGACTTAAGGAGAAATCATTTTCGTAGGGGCTCGGTTGCATGAAGAGGAGCATCATGAGGACGACCAACATGAGGATGACCACCTGGAGGGCAATCAATACGTTTACGTGAATTCGGATGAAGAGTACGTGATAACATTATTAATTATGATTCAATGCTTTAGTTTCTAATATTTTGTTGATTTAATGAATTATAAATATAACTATATGTTCGGGACTGTCATCACACAAGCTGGTGCTGCGAAAATCACGTCTGCATTCTCCATGTGGACAGACCTCGCAGGAAAGACATGGAAAGACGTCTCAGATTCTTATTCGGATTTTTATTATCAAAAATGCAAAGTTTTTTATGTTTTACATATGCTTAAGATGTGGATCTAAATTAAAGGTAAACAATGTACTTAAAAACTTATTATCATCTTATGGTTGAATGTAGAAACGGGTTAAGCGGACTCCGGCGATAGATGAGGAGAAGATGAAGGATGCATTTTTCAGCAAGGCTGCCGGTTTGTACAGTGGATGCATGTACAATCAGAGGACTGACGGTCTGGTGAAAAAAAAGACTGTGGAAGCGGCTATGTTAGAGAGGCTGAAGGAGGTAAAATTTTAATTTATAAACTACAAAGCTTAAATTTTTTAAAAAAAGTGGTTAAACTGTCTAATGTAAATATCAATAGTCTGGAGTTTCAGGATACGAGCAAGAGAAAGAAGAAGAATAGGCGCAAGGGTAAAGAAGATGGTCCTGCACTTGGGACATACACTGGAGGGACGATCCCGTTTTCTGAGAATTATAATCGACTGGTAAAATATTTGGCATAAAATAAAGAGGCACCTACTTGTATACATTGAATGTAATTTTATATGATTTTAATATCGTAGGCTGCAAAGAAAAGAGCACATATCTCGGTGGAAGAAGTCATCGTCCATTCAAAGAAAAAAAAGCATGATGGGCAGACCTGGGTTGATTCGAGTGATGTCGATCTCTGGGTAAGTGTCATTTTAATGCTTCACGTTGTTTTTTGTGACAGAATTATTAAAGTTTTTGAAGTTTTTAAATAGTGTTGTTATTGATGATAATTTAGCAACTTGATTGAGATGGAGATGTTGTTATTGATGATTTAGTAGCTTATTGTTCGTGATGTTTTTAGCTTATTGTTCGTGATGTTGTTAGTAGCTTGTTGGAGATGTTATTGCTGATGATTTTAGTCTTATTGATGTTCTTATTGTTCGTGATGTTGCTAGTAGCTTGTTGGAGATGTTATTAATGATGATTTTAGTCTCATTGATCTTCGATATTCTTGTTATTATTGTTCTTGTTCTTATTTATGTTTTTGTTATTGTTCTTGATGTTGATAGTATGTAGCTCTTGGGTAAAGTTATTGAAGTTATTGTTATCATTATTGTTGGTGTTTGTGTTGTAGTGTAATTATTGTTTTCGTTCATATTGTTGTTGTTTGTGGTGTTAATAACTAGTTGGGTGACCTTGTTGTGGTATTGTAGGCTCGATTTATTGCTCTTCGCGATGAGGCTATAAAGAATGGGCTTGATGTCACCGATGACGAAATCTGGTACTCACTAGTCCATGACCGCAATGTGAAGGATCGCATGTCAGGAGTCGGCGACTACGAGCGTAAGATGAGAAAGTTGAAGCCGTCATCCACCCATCGCCGCTCTAGCTCCTCTGCCATTAAGAAAAGTGAAATAGAGATCCTCAAAGAACAGAACAAACGCCTCCAAGAACAGGTTGAAGTCCTAGTCTCTAAATTCACAACAATCCAAAACGACCTAAAAAGGTTGTATGGTAATAACAACCCACCTCGAGACGATGATGCAGCGGGGGGGGGGGGGGGGGGGGGGGGGGGGGGGNGGTATTTTGTGTTTTTGATAAGCTACATGGTATTCTGTTTTTTAAAGATTCAAAGTATTCGCAAAGATTCAAAATACTCCTTTGTTGTCATTCATTTTTTTAGTTTGTGAAATATAAATTAAGTTTTGGTACATATCTCTTGCATTAAAATATTCAGTTTTTTTAATTTTTATAATTTTTATTTAAACTTACTTTCAATTTTTAAAAATAAAGAGGCATTGTTAAATTTTAAGGTGTAAAGTAGGTATTTATATTCATCCTGATTTGTACCGAAACCGATTACAGAACCATCTCGAACATTACCGAACCGATATTTTGGGATCAAGATCGGTACGGAGTAAAATCTCATACCGAACTGAAATATTTGGTACGGTATCGGTACGAGCTACCCTAGCAGAATAACCAGGTGCTGGTTCTGCAGTTCCCTCTCTGCGAAGGATTTTACATTCCGCCGCAGATAAAAAATATCATTCTTAAAAGAACTTGTCCCTGGCAGACTTGCGGTAGGCCCAAGTCTGTTGTAGGTCCGTCACAAATCTGCGACGGACATGTGTTCCCGTCGATGATTACGACCGGGCGAAGGCAAATTTGCGACGACCTTTTTCTATTGCAGTTCCGTCGCGAATACTAAATCTGCTACAGTTTTCTCAATTCTGCGACGACATTCAGCCGTCGCAGATTTGGCAGATAAAAGTATCTAATCAACCAAGACAAAAGTGACAATTGCTTTAAGGTGGAATGCCCACTTCGGGCGCCCCCACACCCCATCCTGATTGTGAGAGAGATAAATCATGGTATATTCTCAATCTGGTGTTTAGAGGGATCGCTTCATAACAATTGCTTTAATCTTTGGGGAATAGTTGATTGTATATGTGTATTAAAGAATGGGTGTATTAATCATCAAAGAATGATGGCTATGATGTTATGTGTATTAAGCATGGGTGCTTTTAAACAAGGGTACTTTATGCAAGTTGGGCCAATTTTGGTCCTATTCTTAGGATATCAAATGTAGACCCCTTATTTAAGCATATTTATTTACTATATGGGGGACGGGGATACTATAATTTACTTCATTTTTATGTAGCGTAATTTGTGAGAAGTTGGGCAAAAAAGATACTATCTCCGTCCCATTTTATAACATCTGTTTCGGTTTACGATGTTTGACTAAAATTATTTTCAAACTATTTTATATGACAAATGGTATAAAATTAAAAAATAAAAATTACATATTTAAAAACTACATGAAAAGATCTACAAAACTAGTAGTGAAATAATATTTTATTTTATCAAATTGTTAACGAAAATAGAGAAAGAAAGTGAATGAAGTTTGACCCTGTGAATAGTAAACAGACATTATAATTTGGGACGGAGGGAGTATTATCTAGGTTCAATTTGACTCTTTGGTGGAACGCTTATCCCAGGCGCCCCCACACCCCGACCCGCTTGGATTGTGAGGGGGTAAATTATGATTGAATTTCATGATTTACCCCAAAGATTAAAGTCATAGGATCAACGGACTTGATATTTTCTCCTTGGACCAGTTGAGCTACTCATGCAGACAATTTGACTCTTTTAACAATGATGATGGATGGTCATGCATAGCTTGAGGTCCCTACACGTACCAAGACTTAACCCACTTCATATTTATCAACAAACGATTAAATTTCAACCATATCTGATCTTTTCAAGCTACTCTATTCAGGCCGATCTTGGGGATGCTAAGAGGGAATTCATATTTTTTCTCAATGCCCCATATTTCAATATTCCGGTGTGCTTCTTTAGTATTACTCGATTTTCCCAATCTTGATTAATATTTCATTCGTCCCAAAACAAAATAAAAATATGCAATTTATCGGTTTGCAATTCTAACAATGGTCCAGAATGTAATTAATCCGTACATTAATCTAGAAAATGATATTTACATTCTTCTTTTTACTATTGGAACTCCAAAATGTAATTTTAATGTGAGTGGTAAGTAGTTTATTTTGAAGTGCCAATAACAAAAAAGGAGTGAAAATATCATTACCCATTAAATCAAACAAGTTAAAGTAATAACTATCCAAATGGGTCTCCTCTGTCTTAACTTAATCTTCCCATTTCTTTTGAATTGTTCCAAAATAAACTTTCTTTTCCTTAAAAGAATTGAAATGTGATCTGTCACCTTTCACTAAATATCAACCAAAGAATTTCACTTTTGTAAATTACGTGCTTTTGTAAATTACGTGAATAAGAGAGAGAAGAAGGATGAGTTGAGCAAATTTGGATTTTGATAAATGTTTTATGACTAGGGAGAGGGGAAGGATGAGTTAAGCAAATTTGGATCAAGGCCTCCAAATTGTGAGCACAAATGTGAAAGGTGGAAGCCATGTTTGGCCTCTCAAACCACTGCTAAAACTATACCCCAATTTGCAAATCATGAGCCTCAAGGATGGTGGATATGCAAGTGTGGGGCCTGTCTTTCATCCTTGAATTCATATAGTACTCCGTACTTTAATTTTTTTAAATTTCAAGAAAAAAAATATTATAGAGAATTTTGAGATTTTACATCAAATTCTGAACTTTGATTTCATTTTCTAGCCTATTAAACATATATATGGTTGGCATCTAGTGTTTACCTGTAATTGAATTTGCATGCAAGTGTTGCCCAATTCCCTTGGTAAGAAAAACTTATTTTTGTGGTGTACAGATCTTTCATCCCTTAATTTTTTTTAAACCTTTTTTAACCTCGTGAAATTTCAAAGCCATTGTTTAGTGTTTTCTACTACATAATAGTAATTATAGAGAACTTTGACTTCATTAGATTGCAGCTTTGACAACATTAGACACAACATAGGATGGAAGGAGATGAAAACGAAGTAATTGATATGTCAAAACCTAGAAAAACAATGAACTTCAAGAAAAAGCAGCATGAACTAAAATAAATATAACAATTCAGTTGTAAATCCCAAATGCAAAGAAGAAACATCTAAATAGCTCCCCAAATTGTAAGATACAGAAGGATTACAAGACTTGACAATGCGGATCAACTTCATAAATAAAGAAAATTAAACTAGGGGAGGAGAACAGTGGGGGCAAGGAAGGATAGAAAAGAAATCGACGAAAAGCGGAAAGTTCACACAAATAGCCCTCCCAAGAACTCAAGACTCTGCAAGCCTTCCACGTCAGTGGGGAAAAAAACTTACTTTGTTACAGAAGATCGGCAACGTTAGCTGGCAGCTCCTCAATGGTAACATTGTAAAATTTCTGGATGTCTTTGAGCATCCTTTCATCATCTGCTGTGGCAAAGTTTATTGCCACACCTTTCCTCCCAAACCTTCCACTACGACCAATACGGTGAAGGTAGTTCTCAGGTTGAGTAGGGAGATCAAAGTTGATGACAAGTGAGACTTGTTGGACATCAATTCCTCTGGCCAAGAGATCGGTGGTGATGAGAACACGGGAAGACCCCGAACGGAACTCGCGCATGATTATGTCTCTTGTGTTCTGGTCCATGTCACCGTGTGTGGCCGACACTGTGTGGTCCCTGCTTCTCATCTTGTCGGTCAACCAGTCAACCTTGCGGCGAGTATTAACGAAAATGACACTCTGTGTGATGGCAAGAGTCTCGTACAAGTCACAGAGTGTCTCGAGCTTCCATTCTTCTTTGTCCACATTCACGTAGAATTGCTTGATACCCTCAAGGGTCAGTTCATCGCGCTTCACAAGAATCCTCACAGGTTTGTTCATGAACTTTCTGGTTATCTCAAGTGCCTCGGGAGGCATTGTTGCAGAAAAGACACCAACTTGGATTTTTGGTGGCAGAAGTTGGAAGATATCATAAATCTGTACACCAAGGTATTGTTACTTCTTAGATTGACAAAGACAAATGTATGCATAGTACCTTTTTGTTCAACACTTCCAGAAAAATAGTTAGAGAACAATCCAGAACACTACCATCATGCGCACGAGGGAAATGTATATGTGAATGAATACCAGATGACTGATGTATTAAATGCTTAAATGTGCACCAACAGAAATGAAGTTCCTAAGAAAGTTAAAGAAAAAAATAGAAAGATGAAAAAGGTAAAGTCCTTTCAGGCTTGCATTTATAATTGAAGGTATCTGGAAAAATTGAAGAGCACTAGGGATGTCCCATTTTTAAGTAACTTTGAAATCACATGCCAGGCAAAAAAGAAATAACATTGTCAAAAAACACAATGGACTTTCAACCATGTCAAATTAATTTTTTTCCTTGATTGATGATCCAAGCACATGATATATTGATATTAATCTGATTACTCCCAACAAAAATTGTGGTTTTTTACTTGGACAAAAACAAATTAAAAGGATTGATTAACAGAAGAAAAAAGGAAACGGACCTGATCCTTGAATCCTCTAGACAGCATTTCATCAGCCTCATCCAATACAAACATCTTGATGTTATTTGCACGAAGAGAATTTCTGCGCAGCATGTCAAAGACACGTCCAGGGGTTCCAACAACTACATGGACCCCGCTTGAAAGAGTGCGTTGGTCATCACGGACACTAGTTCCTCCCACACAAGCATGCACCTTGACTCCAAGATAGTCTCCAAGTGCTCGCATGACCTTCTCAATCTGCTGTGCAAGTTCACGTGTAGGTGCCAAGACCAAGGCTTGACAGTCAACTAATTCATAGTCGAGCTGTTGAAGAACTCCCGAGCAAAAAGTTGCAGTCTTCCCAGTCCCAGACTGAGCCTGCTGGATCACATCAAGGCCTTTGCAGAATGGGACAATACCTCTCTGCTGAATTGCAGATGGTTTTTCGAAACCTAGATTTCAAGAATGATTAAAGTAGCACTTTAACAAGCAATTACTTTGAGTTGGAAACATATAGGTGAACTGCACTAGAAAACACTCGTGGAAAAAACAAAAATGTAAAATTCTCATAAAATAGTCTTCTTTTGTCAAACAAACCAAGTTTTCGTGTAGGATGTTGGTATATCCTCACCCATTTCGGGTAAATCCACTTTATTCATGGTAAATGAAAAATTCTACCATTAAATTAAGACACAAAAAAGAGATATTGGATGTAAGCCTAATTTTAAGGCCATAGCTGTCTATACATCATAAAAGGAGTTGCTTTAGCCAAAAGGGGGGTGGATTAGCCACACCCTTTTGTGAATTTTTCTAAATGAATATAATAACAAGATACATTTTTAACTATGAATTTTAAACAGAATCAAAATTTCTTTTGGGACAGATTGAGAGGGCAGTGAACTAATTTAAAGCACAGTGAGATATGTATCTATACCGTAAGCATAAATCCCCCTAAGAAGGTTTTCCTTTAACCCCATAGCATCAAAACTTTCATGAACTTCATCATAAGATGTAAAGAAGTCTTGTGCATCAGCGTTAAGCCTGCAAACACACAATATAAAATATATGGGGGGTTAGATAAAACCATCAACTGGAAGCTAACACATAACAACAGCTCATACTCCTGCATTTTGGCATCATATTGACTAGCATCAAACAGTGATCCCTCTGGTGCTGCACCCGCCATAGCTGAAAAAGGAACGGAACACTTTCAGGATAGAAAGAAAATCATCATTATGACTAAGATGCAATCAATACTAGACGCATAGTTTCAAGTGCTGCTGAAGAAGATGAAATCCATATTATCAAGGCACTTGGGTGCCCAAAAAACGAGAATATGAGCTAGATAACAAAGTTATCCAACTTTTTACAAGATATTTCTGATCTATACTCTCAGAGCACTAATGGATGCTCTCAAAATTCTATATAAAAAAAAGCCTCAAATCAATTCACCGTCTTTGCAATAGCATACAGGACAACCAATCAGGAAAAGATGGAATCTTTTCTTATAAAAATGCATAAAAAACATCGAACAACAGATTCACATCAACGATAAAGACAAAGACAGATCCCAAACAAAATAAAACGCAAACAGGTTGAAGGATTGCAGTGGGCACACATACATGTACGCAGGTGTTTGATTGGGTGGAAAGATTATAACAACGATCAGAACACAGAAGAGAAAAGCAGTTACCTTGATTGATGAGATGGAATGAAAGATAGAGAAACGCGAGAAAGAGAGAGAAAGATTAGGGTTTCTGCAAACTCCACGGATCTGAGTCCTTGGAGTTGAGGAAGACGAGAGTGAGGCGCGAGAGAAAGTGACGGTAAGGGCTCCACGACCCGATATCGTCTCCTTCTATACTTTTATTCTCCCCAATTTACCCCTCCGTTATCCTATATCATGTTGGATTGGGTCATTGGGCATTGGGTGTACGTGTACTTCTTCCGGGTTGGACCAGGAAAACAGACCGGTCTAATCTAAAATTGTCAATTTTGAGTTGGATTGAACTATACCGAGTAATTATTTGTCGTTCGTGTTTATAAAAATAATGCTAGGATCACAAATAATTTGGACGAAGCTACACAGATTTATCATTTGTATAAATTGTGAAATAGTCCTAACTAAGTAGCTACAGTAAAAATTTTGTAATATTCAATCCCACCACATAAGGGATTCAATTCAAAGAGTTGTCTCTAATATTCAAATTAAACTCCTACGATTGTATTAGTGATCTTAATTATAAAATAGGTAACAAAAACTAATATTGAATGTTAGTCACAAAAATATTATTACTATGTATGGTATAAAAAAATTAGTGTGAAACATGGAAAAAAAGACAAAATTGAAATACATAGAGTTAATTCATTGAATAAAATCATGAAAAATCATAAATATAATATTCCTATCAATATTTTTAACTCATTTTAGTTTCTTTCAACTCATTTGAGTATTTTAATGTGGAGTTTTTTTTTTAACTTTTTCCAATGTCTATTTTTCAACTCTTTAAAATTTCTACAATTTTTTTAATCTCTTCACATATTCAACTTTGTTTTCTAACATAAAGAACAAGCCTAATACTTTCGCCAATCTAGCTTTTTTGAGCCGGGTATTGGTTCAAACCCGAGCTTTGTGTGGAGAAGTTTAGTAGAGACACACGCCCTAATTCGCCAAGGTACTCGATGGAAGTGGGGGTTGGTTCACACATTCAAATTTGGGAGGATCCATGGTTAGGAGATAGTAATCATCATTGGGTTGTGACTTCTAGACCAGTAAGGGATGATATCCAGAAGGCGTCAGGCCTTATTAGTCATGGGGCATGGAAATGACAAATTATAGACGAACTTTTTGATAAGCGTGATAGGATAGAGACCTTATTCAAGCTCTTCCAATGCCTTTGAATGGAGGAAGAGGTGTACAAATATGGGGCCAATGATAGATCAGGGTTGTATGTGATAAAAAGTGCGTATAAAACTTTAACATAGGATGCTCAAGTGCATGGTTATGAAGATAGGATGCTTAGGGCCATGATAAGCGTGATAGGATAGAGACCTTATTCAAGCTCTTATAATGCCTTCGAGTGGAGGACGAGATGTACAAATATGGGCCAACGATATATCATGGTTGTATACGATAAAAAGTGTGTATAAAACTTTAACATGGGATGCTCAGGTGCATGGTAATGAAGATAGGATTCAAATGCGAGAGAAGTTATGGGCACTTAAGGCGATGCCTCATGTTCACAATTTACTGTGGCAAGCTGTGAAGAACGTTATTCCCTATTTGAAAAATTTGGTCGAGAGGAGGCTGTAGTGAATGACGTTTGCCCTCTTTTTCATGTCACGGAGGAGGATTGTTCCGGATTGAGAGACAGAGGACGAGACTAAATTTATACCAAGGAGGTAGGGTAGAGCGATGAAGACTCCAACACCGCTTAAGGACTCTGTTTAATTTAATTAGTTTATTTACCATTTATTGTAAATTAGATTTTTGTAGGTGAACATATTATAAGCTCCTTCGAGGTTTCTTTTCGGTTCTTTACATCGATGCCTTTTTTGAACCGACATGGTTAGGTTTTTGTAATTGTAAATATGGATGCTTTACTCTAATACTAATAACAAGAAATAGCTTAGTCACATCTCAACCCTGATTTTTCTGATCAGCTCTCTCTCTCTCTCTGCTGACTTCTCTTCCACCTCTTTCCCTTATTCCCTCTGCCTAGGGTTACGTACGTAACAACGGGTGCTTTCATTTTCTTGTACTCTCAATTATGGCTGAAGAAGTTCCAATCCCTACCCAACATTCTAGTAATTAACCGAAAGATGTCTTCGCAACGTTAAGACACCTTGCTTTGGAATCCAAGCCATGGGACACTACTTTGGGTAAGGGCATATTGGGAGCGCCTCTAGGGTCGGCATGTTCGTATGGTTTGCATGATCGATCCATTCATACGGATAACCATCACCCTAATGTTCGTATCGATGCTCCAAAATTTAACGGTACGGATCCGGTAGGGTGGATTTACAAAGCCCTGTCCTAATTTGATTATTTTGAAACACCAAAGGATACATGTTTACTGCCCATCGTACTTTTATTTGGGAGTTCGGCCTCGAAATGGTTTTTGTATTAGTGCAATAACAATTGCTTGCAATCATGGCCGACCTTCTTGATGGGGGTCAAGCAACGCTTTGATCTTACTTATTATGAAGACTATTTGGGTCTCCTTTCTAAGTTGCAGCAGCGCTCTACGGTTTTGGATTATCAATCGGAGTTTGAGTGTTTATTAAATAAGGTAACAGAGGTTTCCGAACTTTCCTTGATCTCTATTTTTATTCCCGGCTTGAAGAGTCATCTCCGACGGGAGGTTAATTTGCAAGGTCCAACCACCCTCACTCAGGCTTTTGCATTAGTGCGGGAACTGGTGGGGAATCATAACGATACAATTTTTCTCTTGTCCGTTGGCATGCGATGACCAGGATTGTCTTCCACCCTGACAACCACATATCCTCATTCGACCAAGGCCCCTACAGACTCTACTATTGCACTAGATAATATAGCTTCTGGCTCACGCTCATCTACCACTTCCCTCCATATTCATCGTTTGACTCTCGGTGAGCAAGAGGCGCGGCCAGCGAAGGGGTTGTGTTAGAATTGCGATGAGAAGTTCGTACCCGTCCATCGTTGTAAGCACTGTTTCCTCACGTTATTGGGCATTGATGATTTAGACGACGATCCATTTCCAGAGGACAAGGCACTGGTGGTCACGGATGACGTCTCTAGCTTGTATTCCCTGGTCGGCATTCCGCATCACCGAGCATTGAATCTTTTGGGCGAAGTGGCTGGTCGTTCCATACATGTTTTGGTGGATGGAGGTAGCACACATAATTTTATTCATCCTGCCATCGTGGAACAGCTCCGCTTGCCCATCACTTTCATTACTTTGTTTCGCGTCAATGTGGGGAATGGAGAATCTGTATCATGCAATCAACGTTGAGTTTAGGTCTCCTTGCTTGTTGAAGTTTATACCCTTTTGGTAGACTTATATGTCCTTAAGATCCATGGACCGGACATTATACTCGGTGTGCAATGGCTTCAAGGGCTTGGGAATATTGCACATGATTATCTAGCCCTGACTATGAAATTTCGTTTGGGGGAGCGCAAGGTTATTCTTAAAGGCGTGGACCCATCCCATCGAGTGGTTTCTTATCACACTATATCGCCGCCGGGTATGAAGTTCGTTTGATGGTTAGTATGACTTCCATTCATTTTAATAAAAGTCTACCAAATTTAAAAGTTTAGTTATATTTAATGTAGACTATTTAAAGTCCATGAAAATCTTGGTGTATTCTATTACGGAGTAACATTTTAAAAAATCATCAGAAATTCTACAAAAATCCAGAACTAGAAGTATTCAATTGAAACTTTTTAACAACTAAGAATGTTTAATATATTCATAATATTATAAAATTCATGCATTTTAATGAATCATTCACATTTGTAGACTTTTTACTCATTTTTTATACACATCTTTTTCTCCATCATTATCGATCTAGCTTTATGAGTAGGTATTTTGTGGGGACTCTTTTTCTTCTTGGATTAACGCAAAAACATATGTTTTTTTAAAGATTTCTTTCATCCTTAATTTTTTTAAACAAAAAAATATGCTACTACTAGGTGTAAACTTCAAAACATTTTAGATTTACAAGAACTGAACGAAATTGAAATGACAATTTTATGACTGTTGTGTTTACTAACTACTCCGTAGATAGTCATTACCACTCCGTATCAAGACCGGTTTGATTTTCAAAATAAAAGTTTAAAACCCAGTAAGAATTTGACACCAGGCCCACCCAATCATTGTTGATAAAACTTGAAGACCCTATGCAAATTTTAAACTTTTAGAATATATTGTTCTAATATAAAAATTATACTAGAAATTTTTTTCATTATCAAGTATTTATTAAATATAGAGTCAAAAATATAATTAAATTTAAATTAATAAAATTTTATAAAGTTAAATATTATTAAAATTGTTAAAGAAAACTAAAATTGATGAACACCTATAACATGTGTAGAGTTAAGGTAAGTATAGTAAGGTCTCAATTGTTTCTCTAATTGAACGATAACTAGAATGGCTTGCTTCATGTATATTGCTTCAAGGTTTACACATTTTTTAATATAAAATAATTTGCATCTCACAGTTTTTAGTTTTTTTAAGTCACCAAAATGAAGACATACATTGTTTACTTCTCAATACTTTTTAAGATATTTTTTTGAATTTTTTTATAATCAAAATGTAAATTTTATTGTAGAGTAATGAAAGAAAATCTACGGAGTATAAAATAAGCCTTTAAAATTCGAGCCCCTAGTGCTTCACAGTGATTCAATGTTCATGCGTTTTAGAATATAAAAATGAACATTGTTGACTTTTAAATGTTTGTTCTCTCTAGTGACTTATATACTTTTTCTGTCCCAAAATATAAACAACATTCCACTATTTAAAAATTCTGGGAACTTTTATTTATTTTTGCATTTTCATTAATTATTTGATAGAATAAAATATATATTGTCACCACTTGTTTTGTAGAACTTTTGACGTAGTTTTTAAATATGTAAGTTTTATTTTTCATTTGTAGACCATTCTTTAAATAAAATGGATTGAAAAAGTTCAAAAATTACTTAGTTTAGCGTAATGTTGCTTATATTTTGGGACGGAGAGAGTAGTTATTATTGCGGGATCGTGTTGGTTTTATTTTGAAATGGGAGTCCAATGACATTAACCTCTCATATCATCTTATGACATAAGCCCTATTTGAATAATTGATGGTTCCTACCTTCTTAACTCTCATGTAAACCTCTTCCCGTCCTGACCCGAATCTACCCCCATCTCTCGTCAATTGCACCGCACAAGATGTAGTTAACTTTGGAGTCAAATTTTGACTCCAAAATCAACGGGGTTGGGTGGGGACGGAGTGTGGGGTTTACCGGAGGAATAAGAAGGGTAGGAAGTACTAATTTTTCAAACAGAATACTGTAGAGACTCTGAGTCATTCCACGACGTTGATTTCCAACGTCTTGGGAACTATAGTGATTTTGAAAATAAAACCGTTAAAAATCTATTAAATTTGACATTAAATCATCACAAACATCGACTATATGTGTGTGTGTGAGAGAGACATAAAACTTGTTGTGTTTCTATTAATTACTTGGGTATTATTTTTGTAAAATTATACTTTGACCAAAAATAAAAAGTCAAAAAACAAAAATCCAAAAAGATGTGGAAAGTGGAAACCGTGGAATGACCAAAATGCCACAAATAAAACCCTAATCTTCTTTCCGCGTACATTTCACAGGACACTCTCATAGTTCAGCGGCACTCAAAACTCCCTAATTGCAGACCTGATCGGGTAAGCATCTTTCTATTAATCTTTGCGTATTTACGATCTGTAGAAGTAATTTTTGATTTTTCCCATTGTTTCATTTCCCCGAACCGAGATTATAATTTCATCATATGCTTTTATTTTATGAATGTGAATCAGTTTAGTTCTTCCTTCCATACTTATTCCTCTGATTATATATAAAGTAATTTCAGTTTTATGGTTTGGAAATTTCGATGAAATTTCACTTTTTTTCTTCTCTGGTTAGATCTCTGTTGGATAGAAATGGCTGATAAGGAAACTGGTTCTGAATCCAAGAATGAGAAATCAAACGAGACCCAGATTTCTGACTATGCGACCACTCTTGCAAACATAGTCCGGCAGTTCCAGAACACGAACCCCATTAGCCCACAACAGCACAAGTTTTGGGAGACCCAACCGGTGGGACAGTTCAAGGATGTAAGGGATCTGAGTTTACCCGAGGGTCCGATCGAGGACCCGAAACCGATATCCGAGGTCAAACAAGACCCGTATAACCTTCCAAGCGCGTATGAGTGGACAGTGTGTGACATGAGCTCTGATGAGGCGTGTGCTGAGGTGTATACTCTGCTGACCAATAACTATGTCGAGGATGATGACCACATGTTCAGGTTCAATTACTCGAAAGAGTTTCTACGGTGGGCTTTGTGCTCGCCAGGGTATTTTCGTAATTGGCACATCGGAGTCCGGGCGAAGGGGTCCATGAAGTTAGTCGCTTTTATCAGTGGCATTCCCGTGAAAATGAGGGTCCGTGACCGGGTCTTCAAAATGGCCGAGGTTAACTTCTTGTGTGTCCACAAGAAGCTGAGATCAAAGAGACTCGCTCCGGTGATGATTAAAGAACTGACGAGAAGAATCCACTTGGAGAACGTATGGCAAGCGGCTTACACTGCCGGAGTTCTTCTCCCCACCCCAATGACCACTTGTCAGTATTGGCATAGGACATTGAACCCGAAGAAGCTTGTTGATATCGGGTTTTCCAGGTTGGATGACCGGATGACCATGAGTAGGTACATCAAGCTCTACAAGCTCCCAACCGCGACGACCATACCCGGTCTGCGAAAGATGGAGCCGCGTGATGTCCCAGACATCACGCGCCTTCTCAGGGCCCACCTGAGGCGATTTGAGGTGGGCCCAGAGTTCGACGACGATGACGTGGGACACTGGCTGCTTCCTCGTGACAATGTGGTTGATTGTTATGTGGTGGAGATGCCCGAGACACGCGAGGTGACCGATTTCCTCAGCTTCTACACACTCCCTTCGTCCGTTCTCCACAACCCTAACCACTCCACACTCAAAGCAGCCTACGCCTTTTACTACGTCTCAACCAAAACCCCATTACTGCAGCTGGTGAATGATGCACTCATCGTAGCGAAGATGAGTGGTTTTGACGTGTTCAATGCTTTAGATGTTATGGAGAACGAGTCTTTCCTGAAGGAGCTGAAATTCGGACCCGGGGACGGGCTGTTGTATTATTATCTCTACAACTATCGGTTCAAACAGGCCTTGAAACCATCAGAGACCGGTCTCGTGCTTCTATAGTCTGGTGATGGCTTTCCTTTGCTTCTTCTTTTATGGCTATTACCTGAAATGCATTGTTTATGCCTACTTATACAGGTTCATTCATAAAGGAAAATCTTGATAATGTTCACCAAACATCTTTAAAAGAACACAGATACATAAGTATTTGAAATGAAACTTTAAAGAGAAGCTATGGTGTTCTTGAACAAGTTTCTGTTTTATTCTATCTGTTGGTCAGTTTCCATATATTGTAAAATACTGTTTGATATTTGGTGCCGTGTAATTAGTTTTACGCTTTGTACTTTAAATCACATCTTTTATTAGGTCTTGTTTGAGAACAAAATTTTCTATTAGTTGATGTATAAATACCAAATGGCCTATAAAAAATGTACACCTTTGAAGTCGGGTTCAGAATATACGTCCAGGGCACTGGGTATACATGTAACGCCCGGGGGTGTGAGGGGGCGTTTAACGCCCCGGGCGGCGTTACCCCGGCGTCATTGCCTGTGCGTCAAACGAATGACGTAGCTCAGCCCTTCGTCATCCCTCCCCCGACGGTCCCCAACGGCTAATTTAGCCGTCCCCCCCTCCCAAATAAAAAAAATCAAAATTTAAAAAAAAACCTATAAATTCCCCTAAAAAAATCATTCTCTCACACATCTCTCTTTATATTCTCTCTAAAATATTTATTATTTATTATAAATATTTATAAAATATATTTTAAAAATGGGTTCATCTTCCGACGATGAAAGAAGAGCTTTCTTTTTTCGTTGTTTCGCGACGAATTGTATTCAATGGTGGAAAGATGGCCAAGAAGAAGCCGAATCCTCCCGACGACAACGCTTAAACGGGATCGAGCGGCCGCCCACGCTTCACTTCTAAACGACTACTTTAATAATCTATGTGTTTATACATCAGAGGATTTTAGTAATCATTTTCGGATGAGTCGTCCTCTCTTTTTACGCATACTCGCCGATGTTGAACGCGAGGTTCCTTGGTTCACCCAACGGTTTGATGCGAGAGGCCGACGCGGGTTTAATGCACTAGTCACATTGCGATTAATTTAAATAATAAATTAATTTAAATTTATTAATTTAAATTTAGAAAATGTATATTTAAAAATGTAAAAAATGAAGGTTTATAGCCCCAGTTTGAAGCCCCGGGGCTTCAAAACTATTTCCAATGAATTTTTGGTGTATGTTAAAGCTGTCGTGGCAGAGAGAGAAATTTTGAAGCCTCGGGGCTTCATACGTATTTCCAGTGCTCTCAGAAGACATTTTAGAAGCAGAGTTAGACACTTGGTTTATATTGGGCCTGAGGCCCAGCTCACCCAATACCTCAACCCAACCCTAAAATGCTTCCACATCCTCCTATATAATAGGCCTCTCCATCTCGAGGGGCAACTAAACTCATACACTACTATCTCTCCCTCACTTTATTTATCATCTTCTTCATGAAGTTTGAAAGATCCATTAATGGTGTCCAATGCTACTCTCATGTACATGTAAACGCCCTCAAGATTAATAAAAGCTTTTTCCCTTGGCATGATACTGCCTAAAAATGCACGTAATTTTCACCGACTTGGTTTTCACGAAAAATATATTGTCTACGCTTTTTTTTTGTATATTTTCCTACATTTTACACATATAAGTTTTGGACCAAAAATGCATTCCCGGGAGATTTCGGTCCATCATTAGCGTTGTCGTTTTAGATAGATTTTAAATATACTCTCTTCATTCTTATTTAATTGTTCGGTTCGGTTTTTTTAAATTAAATTTTGAGCAAAAATATCTCTTAAAATATGTTAGTAAAAATTATTAAAAAATTTGCATCTAAAATATTTTTTTGATACCAATAATTTGGTAATTTTAATATTTTAATGTATTGTATATTTTTATATATAGTTAGTCAAATTAAATATTAATGTGTTATATTTTAAATATATTTTAATGTGTTATATTTTAAATATATTTTAATGCGTTGTATATTTTAATGCGAAACAGATAGTTAAAAATGAATGGATGGAATATTAATCATGAAATCATTAAAATTAAATATTATTGTTAGATACGGAGTATCATTTTCAAAATGCATGCCAAAGGTATTCCCAAACGGGCCTCAAGGCGTGAGGCCATCTCCAATCATAACATGCAAATTGAACCTAAAATACATTACAAATGCAAAAATGTAGTATTTTATCTCCAATCCATTGCACAAAACTCAAACCCAAAGCATAATAAATATTTCTTTTTTCATTACTATATTATTTTTAGGTGAAGTGACAATCTTATAAATTGAATGTAGTAATTGAAATTTATTGTTTGTTTTTAATTTTACATTATTATTAAAATAATTAGAATCAAAACTAATTTTTTTTGGGTACAAAATGCACATCTTCATTCAATCACCAACAAGGTCTTATAGCATAGAAGCTAAGATAAAATACATTTCAAGAGCCTACTAACCTGCAACACTAACTATGTGGCTTTCATCTTCTTCCTCTATCCCCAATAAGTGGTAATATGGTAAAAGACCTAATTGAACATTTCATCTTCTTGTGATCTATCATTGGCATGGTACAACCATACAATCTATTCCTTACCCTCCTCCATATAGCATAACAAACTACTTGCTTTCCCAACCGGCTTCATTAGATTACTCATTATTTCCTTCACCCCTCACTCTCAATGTTGTATCTTAGCCACACTAGAACTTATTTAATGAGTGCCTTAGTAATCGAAGAGCTACTGAACAGATGATCCAAATCTTCCTCTGCCTGTTTACAAAGCGCACAGGTCTATAAACTTCACAAGTCTTGTTTTGGTGCTCACTCTATCTTTGTAAATAAGCCATTAAAGAACCTGATGCTTTGGAATGGAGAGCTTATTCCAAACAAAAGGATAACATGCACGTTTGTCCTTCAACCCTAATAACCATGAATATCCCTCCTTTGTAGAGTACTCATTAGCCACAGTCATAAGCTCAAACAACTTCTTATTGTGCACTATCTTCTTTCAATAGAAACAATAATCTCCCTTTAGTTTATAGTTAGCCACACGGCCCACACCTCCTCATATAAAATACTATTGATCACTCTACATCTACCAGCATAAGACATCTGTTTAGAAGCCCAAAAAGTAATTCTTGAGGTGATATTGTTCACTAATGTTTCACACTCCTTCCCAACAATTCTAAGTGCAGTAATAGGAATTCCCAAATACATGAGTGGTAGTTCTCCAATAGTTAAAATAGTCAGCTTCAACAGTTTGTCTTAAGTCTTCTTGCCCACTCCTCCAAATATCATATCTGACTTGGCATTGTTTATACTCTGTCATGTAGTGTTTTGAAAGGTATGCAGGGCTAACACATCCATAATACAATTGATGGATTTATCATCAGCTTAGCCTTTCACACTATTATCAAGTTATCTGCAAAACACAAATTGATTAGACTGAGAGACGTGCACATATGATAAAATTTAAAGTCCAAAACTAATTTCATTTTAACATATTATAAATTATTACTTGAATTAAAGTTATTTAGATGTGAAAAAATCATCTTATTTGTTAAATTAAAAGTTTTTTATATGAGGAGAGTAAAATATACCGTATTAGATTGGAATGAATATTACCATTGAATAAATATTTTTCTTTCATAATTAAATTTATTCAAACATTTCATACCAAAATATTGAATTTACAGTTTCTATATTTTAAATTAGGTGACACATTAAGTGTCAAAAAAGCAGGCCAACTCAAAGACATCCTTCACTGGAATGTACCCATTCAATGTACTATTACATCTGTGTATATTCTATATGCTCCTATCACGGGCCCTATTCCCTTTGGGCCTGACATGAGCTTTGTCGTAGACAACAACTAGGTGAGAAATAGATATAAAAAATTGTAACATGTAACCTTATATTTATACGGGGTCACACCAAGGGAGGGGCATCATAATCTAAACTACTCATACAATTTAGAAAAGAATTCATACCCAGATCATACTCTTGTAACCCTTCAAGTACTATGTTTGTTCGATTACTCTCCTTATATAGTTTGATTTAGGCCCAAGTTCATAAACCAATTAGGAAGATTATTGTTGGACGGGGGAGTATATGATCTCATTTTCTAAGATTTCGGGAATGGGGTGGCAGGTATGAGGGCGGGGTGGTGGATAGGGGCGAGGGGAGTGGATGAGGGTGGGTTGGGCCTGGGGAAATGGGGTCAATGAATTAGAGGGTGTTTGAGAGTGTATCTAAAAATAGCTTTTGAGCTTTTCCTTCATTGAAACACATTTTTAAGTGTTTTTCGATTAGCTTTACATTAGGAATTATGATTTTAGAAGTCTAAATTATGCTTAAAACATAACTTTTACCAACGTTCGAAGTAAATGTCTTCTAATTTTGATTTAACACATCTAGTTTTTCAAGACTGACTGCACTCAAGTAAGAAAATGAAATTAAATTCAAAATAAACGAAAGTCAATACTATACGGAGTAATAAAGATTTTAAGTTTCATTTAATCCCGTGACATGTGTAAAAATACTACAGTAGTTAGAATATAAACCATGCAAGCCCAAACCCGACCCATTTATACGACTCCACCGTCCAAGAATCTTCCTCCACTTTTGTCCACCGCGTACTTCTTCTCCTCTTCTATACGTGTATTACTTCATCCGTACTCTTCCCCCCTCTCTGTATATATTCAAAAATCAAACACTCTCCATTCCCAATTTCCAAATTCGGATTCATTCTCTGTTCACACGCGCTTCAATTGGATTATTCTTTCATTCCCAATTTCGAATTTTCGATGGAGATTTCTTCCTTTCCATTCCCCTGTTCTGATGATCCCTCCTTGAATCTCTGGACTTTGTTCCAAGATTCCGACTTTGCCGCACCACCCACTGCCAAGAAACAGAAAACCCATGATTCTTACAGCTCCGGCGATTCCGTCGGGGAGATTCTGAGCATGCTTCTTCCCGCCGAGGAAAACCCGGCAACGGAGAGTAGTCTGAATACAGAGTGCAGCCGTGGGGTTGCTGTGAAGCGTGGCCGTGTGGAATCTTTTGACTCCGTCAGAACTTCCGGCGGTGGAGGGCAGCGGAGGTTGTGGGTGAAGAGCCGGTCGAATGCGTGGTGGGAGCAGTGCAGCCGCCGGGATTTTCCCGACGGGGAGTTTAAGAAGGCGTTTCGGATGAGCAGGGCGACGTTTGATATGATCTGCGAGGAGCTGGAGCCGGTGGTGACGAAGAAAGATACTATGCTCCGTTTGGCGATTCCGGTGAGGCAGAGAGTCGCCGTCTGCATTTGGCGGCTCGCCACCGGCGAGCCGCTCCGGGAAGTCTCGAAGCGGTTCGGGTTGGGGATCTCCACCTGCCACAAGCTCGTCCTCGAGGTTTCCGCCGCCATTAATGGCGTCCTCATGCCCAAATTCATCCAGTGGCCGGACGAGTTCAATACGACCAGAATCAAACGCGAATTCCACACAGTCGCCGGGATCCCAAACGTCGTCGGGGCAATGTACACCACCCACATCCCGATCATCGCGCCCAAAGCCTCCGTCTCATCGTATTTCAACAAGCGCCGCACGGCGAGGATCCAGAAGACGTCGTACTCCGTCACTGTTCAGGGAGTGGTGGGCCCCACCGGCGTTTTCAACGACGTCTGCATCGGATGGCCGGGTTCGATGTCCGACGGCGAGATTCTTGAAAAATCGGCCATCCACCACCGTGCGAGCCAGGGGCTACTCAAGGACCTCTGGGTGGTCGGGAATTCAGGGTACGCATTGAGGGATTGGATGCTGGTTCCGTACAGCCACAAGAATCTGACGTGGACACAACACACCTTCAACGAGAAAGTCGGGGAGGTGGAGAAGGTGGCGAAGGCGGCGTTCATGCGGCTGAAGGCGCGGTGGAGCTGCCTGCAGAGAAGGACGGAGGTGAAACTCCAGGAGTTGCCGGTGGTGCTGGGAGCTTGCTGCGTTTTGCACAACATTTGCGAGATGCGCGGGGAAGGTTTGGAGCCGGAGTTGAGGTTTGATCTCTACGACGACGAGTTTCCGCCGGAGAATGGTGGCCGGTCGGAGAACGCCGTTCGCGCCAGGGATCAGATTGCTCACGAACTCCTGCACCATCGCCAAGCCGGCACTAATAAGTTTGTTTGAGAAGATTGAGAGTTTGGTGGAGCCGCCTAAGAACATGTCTAATTGTCTCTAAGTACCCCAAACTAGTGGAGAGTCAAAGAATCTCCATTGATAAATAATATATCCATTTGAAAATAATTTCAATATGTAAATGTTTTAATGTAATTTTTTAATATGTATTTTTTTTAATTTCACACAATTTTTTATATAAAATTATTTGAAAATAATTTCAATCAAACATCATAACATGCAAAAGATAACTTTTAGACAAAGTGGGTATATACAAAGTAAAATTTTGGAGTTATTCAATCCATTTCTAACTACAAAGTACTCCGTAAGTTTTTGGAGAAACTCAAATATGGATTATTTTTTGGGCGATTTCATTTATTTTTCTTCTATATCTTGTACTCCTTCCGTCCTAAAAAGATGAGTACATATTGACTTTTTGGGAAATTAAGAGAGGGATATTTTGGTGTTGACTTTCCAAAAATACCCTTGATGTGATGGGTAAAAGTATGATATGATGTGTAGATTATTAGGAAAAAGGTGTGATGTGATAGGTAGGGTATGAAAAAGTAAGGAGTTGATGGTGTAAATATAGCTGGGTGGGTTAAGGCCCAAACTGGACCTGTGTGAGCTGGGCATTATATTTTGTGTGTTGTTCTTGTGTTTCATACTGGATCTGGCCCATTTAGAGGAGTCAGGCTTAATATAAAGAATGAGATAGAGTTCTCACTTGAAATCACTCTCTTTTTAACCTAGGGGAGGAGATAGGTTATAGTTCATATTTATAGAGGAGGATTTGTGACATTCTCCTGTTCATCCATGGACAAAATAGGAAGCTCGTGGGAAGGTCACTGTAGATAATGGGAACACTGTACAATCATAGAATTTAGCAACTATAGGCCAAGACATGTACTGTTCAATCAAAGACTAAAATGGATATTCTCAATCCAATCAACCCTGCAAAATGACAAACATCACTTTCACTGTGTGCCTCGTGATGGATGAGCGGCGGGGTGTCCCCTTGACCTCTGACGTGGTTCACCATGCCTAATAGACTGAACCAATGTTAGCCAAGTAAAGTGATATGACCGGTCACCTTCTCTCAAAAGTTACCCGGTCATTCTTTGTGATCAACCCGTCTCTGGTCTTCTAGAATGTCCTTTGTAACATTAGGCGACATTTTGGCTATCGCCCAAAATGTGACCGGTCACTTTTTTAGTGGAAGTGACCGGTCAACCTTTGACCCGTCCCAATCGAAGAGTTAACCTCATTTGGTGATTGATAAAAGTGACCGGTCATATTTTGACCTGTCCCTTTCGGTTGTCCGGGTCGGGTATAAGGATATACCCATCAAGAAGTCCTCCACTTACCGGCCTTGTGAGGAAGTCATCAAGGGCGGGAAGTATATTTATGGTGATCTATCGCTTTTGAAATCATCAAGTCATTCTCATGACCTGTCCTTTCTTTGAAATCACCAAGTCATTCCCATGACCTGTCCTTCTTCGAAATTGTCAAGCCATTCCCATGACCTTTCCATGGAGACCTGCCCATTTTTTGGATTCACCGTCTTCATACCAGACCTGGCACTTTTGGATTTGTAGACTACGCTGCATGACCTGTCCATTCTAGTTAGTGGAAGTTTAAACGTTGGCCCTGACTCTTCAGTTTTTTGGAATTTCCCTCCAAAACCTTCCACCTTACCATTCAAAATTCAAAATCCCCCCCCTAATCATTAATTCTTCCACGTGTCAAGCTGTCCTTCTCCCACCTGTCGCCTCGAGTTCCAAACCGCCTCCCTCTCTCCTATAAATACTCCTCCAACCCACCTCATTTCTTCACTTCTCTTCTTCGATCTTCAAGTTTTAACCGGTCTACTTTCTCTCTCTAGCCTTCTGCCAAGTAAGTTCTCCAGTCCTCCTAGTCTTTTATTTTTCATCTTCCCTTTTTTAACCGGCAACATAATGTCTTCTGATAGCCAAAACATCTCTGGCCAATCCTATGGATCTGGCTCTCAGCCCTCTTCCTCTTCCCACTCTGAATCTTCTTCTCCCCCCTGTCACTCCTTTGATTCGCCGCCCCTCTCACCAGTCTAGCTCCCAGGCCCGGGAAATTATTGCCCAAGAGCCTGTTCCTTTGAACCAACTGCCCGGTCGGTTCAATCCCAAGATCCTCAGCTGGGACCAGTGGGAAGAACGATTGGGATCAATGGGCTACCTAGCCCTTGACTCAGGACCGGTCTTCAAAGAGTCCTCTAGGGTTACAAAAAAGGTCCTGGCCGTGGTGCGCTCCGTCCTTCCCCCGGGCTATAAAGTCCTTTCTAACACCACCTGGCCCAACATCATAGAACCCCACCAGGGAACCCGGTTGGGTTTCCATATTGCATCTCTAGAGGGAGGTATTATTTTTCCACTCCGCCCCCTCCTTATTGAAATCTGTAACAAGTTCAAGATTTTGCACGGCCTGCTTACTCCAAATGCTCACCGGTTCTTGAATTGTTTCGTAAATATCTGTGAACATTTGAAAATCGACCCTCCCTTCATCTTTTCCTCCACATGTACGAAGTCTTGCCCGGGACTAGTAATTGCCCGGGCTTTGTTTATTTTCATTCACGTAATAAGAGGAGTTTTGTGACCGGTCTTCCCCCTAGCCACAAAAGATGGAAGAAGAGATTTGTTTTTGTTGAATTCCCCCTGACCAATTTCCTTTCTCTAACCCTGAGTGGGCTGACCGGGTTATAAAACCTGAAAGGGTTCATCCGGAGCCCACCAAAGATCTTGAGGACGCCTGCGAGAAACTTCTCAAGGGTGATCCTGTGACCGGGAAACCTTATGCCTATGGAGGCTGGGTATTCCGGCTATCTAACCCGGATGGGGGTGCGTCTGCGACCCATGACGCTGAGGATAACCGGGCTGATTCCCCGGATGGTCACGCTGAGGCCGGCTCTCCTCATCCAGGTTGGTTAATTTTCCTCAACCTTTTGATTCCACTTTCATTTTGATAAGGTGTAAAATCTAACCGGTCACTTTGTTCTTTTTGGCAGACATGAACTTCAACAGGATGACCACCATCATTGAGGATGATGACGATGATGTCCAAGTCCTCCACTCCAACCGGTCTCCTCTCTCTAACTCTCCTGGAATGGATGGGGCCACAAGTGCCCGGTGTAGCCCTATCCATGAGCAGAGCCAGAAGCTGAAATCTCCTTCAGCTAGGCATCACTCTAAGGTTGACCGGGCTAACCCCCCAAAGTCCCGGTCCAATCAGGTGCTAAAGAGGTCGGTGCATCTTCCTCTTCAAAAGCCAAGGACCAAAAAAGGAAGAGCTCTCATAAGAGTTCCAGGGGAGGCAAGAAGAGGAAGATTAGCTTATCAGACAGGGAGGAGGAAACCATCGAAGAAGCCTTCCTATCCCTGTCCAAAAAACTCAGCAAGGTATTCCATCTCCGCCTTTCTTCCCGGTTCAAGTTTTTTCCTTCACTTTTACTGATATGCCTGCTCTCTTTTTATTTTTTATTTTTACAGGCCGGGGTCATTTCAGAGGAGATTGGCCAAACATTAAAGGAGAAAGACCAGGTCTCCCAACTCACCCTCCTCCTTGATTCTGCTAAGTTAGAGATCAATGACCGGGCAGAAAGGGAGAGGAGACTTGAGGAAGAGTTGAAGGAAGAAAGGGCCCGGTTTGCTCTT